TCTTCTTAATCTGCAACGTGTGCCTTTCAGCCAGAGCTGAAAAAAGTGTAGGAGGTGTAGTGTAATGAGGGTGTGCGCAAAGTGGGGTGGGGGGTTGATTTGGAAGCTTTTGCCCAGTGTGGGGTGTCAAAATCAGACTCTAATTTCCATTGTGTGCTTGCTGACCTGCAGCCCTTTGGGAGTGAAGGCATTCGCAGCTGAGTTGAGCTGGACAGTAGGGGATGGTAGTCGTGACTGGTTGGAGGTGAAGTTCAGCCCATTTGATTTGAGATCATTCAGTTCAAAGTGTAATTTACAGACGAACTAACGCAGTCATAAACTCTCAAAAATGCATTCATAGTTTGAATAATGGAACTGTAAAAAACCCTATAAAAGCCACAGATTGCAATGATTAAAAATGCCTTTTTATCGGAATGGTTCAGGTAAGCATAGAAATATCATCTAGTGAAGTGTTTCTCTTACTGTGTTTGAAAACCCAGCAGACAAAATGGAAAGTGATCCTGTGTTTGGCAAACAAAAAACAAACCAAAAAAGGCACATTTTAGAGTAGCAGTTATTTTCCCCCGGACCTGGGATTTGCTGAAACTGCTGGAATTTTCTTTCTTCTTTTTGTAATTGGATCACACGGGTGATTTGCCAGGTTCTGTAAGGGACATGCTTCAACTTAATTGTACATTGATGAAGTGCCAGCTTGCTTGTTCTGACCACAGTACTGTAAATTGGATTGCTGTAATGAACTTCATGAGGTTCCTGATGATAGAGAATGAGCATATAGACATATTTATACTTAACAAGCTTTACAGTATGAATTTTAAGAAAAAAGTTTTTTCCCCCCAAAAAACTAGGGCTTGTAGTATTACTTCTCACTTTTTTATGTTCTTGTGTTAAATGAAAGTGAAATGTAAGAAGATCGGCTGAATGCAACTTCTATTACATTTCAGTTTTGAGTCAATTGAAATAAAAGAGACAGTGGTAGAGTTGTTAACTATTGTTTTTTGTCTTATGTTATCTGCTTTTGTTCATACTTGTTTTGATTCTAAGAAAAGAAAAGATTTTAGAAGTAAACTGGGTTCAAGGTCAGGGTTCTCAGCAGACGACCTGCACGGGAACTCGGTGTCTGTACACAGCAGAAAAAAGTGAAGAGTTAAGCAGCCACATAAGCTAAGTCGAGTCCACAGATCACATGTTGGCTGTCTTGCGTGGTATTAATCATTTTGCTGACCAAGGGCTGCTCTAGAGACTTGGAAGAGTCACCGATGTGCACTCACTTATCTGTGAGTAATTATATGTGAAGATAGAAAGTCACAGCACAGTTAAAGGCCAAGGCTTTATTGCCTCAGATTTAAATAACCATTGAGAAAGGGTGACACGCGCAGCCTGTTTTATTACATGTTGAGCTAACAATTATATATTAAAAAACCCCACAAGTGTTTAAATATTTTTCTGCAGAACAGTTCTGACTGTTTACCTTCTGCCTTCTAATAGATATGGACTTAGAATTTTTTTTGGATTTTCAAAACAATTGAGACAGTAACACATTTTGAACATTGCTTTGGAACTTCAAAACTGGCTGTTAATTTAACATTAAATCAGACCAGTCATGGATTTGTGAAAACCCTGCCTACAATAGATACTCTTCCACTTTGAGGAACTTTTTTTAGGCTACCAGCTGACAAAAACCAAAGGCATTCTGACAAAGCCAGGCTTAAAATATTAGCATATTTAAGACCTAGTCTATACAGTCCCCTGTTCATGTTGAACACTGAAGCAGATTTACTGCAGTAGCAGAAGACCACTGAGTTCCACTTCTGTGAGTTAGGAATGGGAAACTGAGGCTACAGTTCATACCAGCTCACCAAAGATGGACAACAGAAGGTTGTCAATGTCTCTTGATTTCTTAGTCCTGATTTCTGACCCTAGGGTCAGAGTTTGGCATAAACAACATGCTGCTGCTGGTGTAGTGGTGTGGGGGATATTTTCTTGGCATTTTTTAGTGTTTAAAAAACAAGATGTGTAAACGCAACATCCTACCTGAGTATTGTTGCTGACTTTGTCCATCCCGTTATTATCACAGTGTGCACATGATGGTTGCTTCGAGCAGGAAAACTCGCCATGTCACAGAGCTCAGATCATCTCAAATTGCTTTTATGACAATCAGATCACCCTACTCAAATAGCCCCCACACTCGCAGATCTCAGTCTGATAGATATGTTTGGGATGTGGGGGAACAGGAGATTTGCATCATGGATGAGTAGCTGCCAAATCTACAGCAACTGTAATACTATCATGTCAAATGGAGCAAAATCTCAGAGAAGTGTTTCCAGCAGCTTGTTGAATCTGCCATGAAGAGTTACGGCAGCTCTAAAGGCAAAAAAGGGGTCCAACCCAGTATTAGTGTCTGCTTTAACAAGGATCAATTTTCTGATGGTGTATTTTGGTCTCTTTTTTTGCTGTGTGGTAGCCAAAAACCACCTCATGAGGTGTTTAGGGGATAATCCCCCAATGTCACTACCATCACAGACTGTAACAACTTCATTACAGAACCACCCAAAATATATTTAAGCTACTCCCTACCCTCAAATATGAAAGTGGGAGGAATGAGGATGATTGATTTGAAACAAGTTTCATATTTTATCTTCTATTGGCAACATTTTTTAAGTAGTTTTTCATGACCAGCAATAAAGTACGGTCTGTTTGCCTTTGTTAAGCAGCTTAAATGTTCAACATTTAACCATTTTTATTTGTTATCTAATGACCAAGCTCCATTACATTTAATGCTTCAAGTATTCAATGTGCATTGATATTTCCTGTAGGGACAAGCTAATATGCAAGCTCTCATCCCTTATTTTACTGCATTAAAGTCATACCGCCGCGACCCGCTGGCTAGACAGGCCCTGATGAGCAATGTCTGAAACAATCAGTCTGGTCATACTGCGCCAGACTCCACCAGCTCTAAATGTAGATAACCATTGTTTAGCTGGACAGAAAAAAAGATATTGTAGCTAGTTGTTACAGCCTCTTGTACACTATGTTTTCTCAGAGAGCCTCATTGTGGTAATGTGCACAACAATTTGTTTTGGAAGCATAAGCTATAGTACTCATTACAAAAACAAGACAGGACGTGAAGGGGAGGGCGTGTAACAGACCATCACTGATCTCCACTGGTGGTAAGGGTATGTGACAAAAGCAAATCCTTTCACTTTTTTGTGGTTAATGGACATATCACTTTAACACTCAGGCTGGTAGCCCTTTAAGCTATTACATTTATTACATTTACATTTATTATATATTACAGGTATTACATCATCTCCTAACTACACAAGTAAGAGTTGTTTGAATAAAAAGACTGTATATAGTGTAGTTTAATTACTTTACTATATCCACTAAATATAAAACATTGTTTTATGGTTTTGTTTTATGACTTGTCCACCGAGAGACTGAATGAGGAAGCAGCTGTCTGCTTTCTGTATATAAGTGTCACTGTGTGTTGTTCTGCTATGTGGAAAGCACGCCCACTTTGTCACTGTCACTATTTATGTATGAATTCAGCAGAAAGTTCTCATTAGTGTTCACGACTGCATGTTTATATTTGTGTAGCATATTGTAAGTGTGGGTATCCAGCATGAAAGCAGTTCAATGAAAGAAAAGTCAAATGGGTGATCGAGTTGGGTCAAATTCCCACTGGGAGGCGGGAGGCGAAACCCACAAATCCCCAGAGGGAACAACCCAGACTCTAATTAAGAACTCGCTTTTATGTCTGTATTTGTGAATGCACACAAAGCAATATGTATGCCTGGGAGAGCGCTGCAGATGTGCGTTTGCGTCGCTGCGTTCACATCCTCATAATTTCCTTTTTTTTTTTATTGTGCCTTAGATTGTTTTTCAGTTGGCAGTGGATGATATAGAGATTGTCTAGCTTCAGCTCTGTGACAGAAGTAGTATTTGAATCCTTTATGCAAGTAAAATTTCTACTATACCACAGAGTAAATGTCCTATATTGTCCAGAAATATTCATGGAAAATGTACTTGAAATGTAAATAGTGGAAGTGCTTGTCGTGCAGTTCCTGTCAGTGTTATATTTCTGGAAAATGATACTGATGCAAAAACTTGTTCCTGTGGATGGTCAAAGTGAGCTTTTTTTAATGGTGGTGACTATTTTAACCTGAAGCGTGTTTTTTAAGCTTATTACTGCTTATATATGTTGAATATCTTTTGCGGGGTCCTTACCCTACAATATAAAGTGCCTTGAGGTGACTGTGGTTGTAAATTGGCTCAATATTAATAAAGTTGAATTGAAATACTAGTCTGCAAAGTAACTTTAGCCGCTACATAAATATCAGAAAGTAGAAAAGTGAAATACAGTTTAATGTACACTGTTGAACTGAGATTCAAGTCGCCACTCTGTCTAGACACATTTATATTATACGCACGCACAAGATTCTGAAATGTTGATATAGAACATGGCATAGTGATAATGTTTATGCTTTTAATTCTTGGAGCGTGACCTATGTTGGATTTTTGTGGCCGATCCTGTTTCTGTAGCCTAAAAGCATTCTGATATAGATATTTTCAGTTTGTGTCTCCAGCTCTGTATCTAACAAGCAAGACATTACTTTACATCACCAAATGGCACATATCAGACAATATATACACGAATGCCAATATTGGTGGAATGTTTTTTTTCCAGTGTTATAAAGATGATATTTTTGGCAATGATTTGTTATTTGTGTTGTAAACAACAATTGCCTCTATAACACATTAGGTAAATGAATGGAGCATATTGGTGAACAATATAGGCTTCAGAAATTGTTTTTCAAAATTTCTTTATTTTAAACAATTTTTAAACAAATAAATGGTAAATGGTAAATGGCCTGTATTTATATAGCGCTTTACTAGTCCCTAAGGACCCCAAAGCGCTTTACATATCCAGTCATCCACCCATTCACGCACACATTCACACACTGGTGATGGCAAGCTACATTGTAGCCACAGCCACCCTGGGGCGCACTGACAGAGGCGAGGCTGCCGAACACTGGCGCCACCGGGCCCTCTGACCATAAATAAATAAATAAAAAGGTCCACTTATGAGATTTGGTTGCTGTGTGCTATGCTTGGCACAGTAGTTTGTTTTCTTTTGTTGTTGTTTTTTTTTTAACAAAATTGTTTAATGAATTCTTGACCATTCAGTTAAAAATGGTCCTATCACATTGAAAACTCAATTTTAGATAAGACTTAATTTCGATTAATTTAAACAACTTTTGAAATCTATCCTGCCCAACTCTTTAATAGTCAGTTTATTTTAGAAATTTTGTATCTATTTTGAAATATTTTTCTCAAACACATATAATAATTCAAGTGATTATAAAGGCAACAGATTAAACCATTTTGAAAATTACATGTTAGAGCAACGGGGTTGTACACGCTAACATGGCTTAACAGATGACATACATATGACAAGTAAATACTCAGGACCGCAGATGTATTTTTTATTAATATTTTAAATGTTTGTAGCATATGTTTGTTTTAAATTGATTTGCTTTATGGTAACAGGATTGCAAATAACAGACTGATCACTGTTAGGGCAAAGTGCTTGTAATAAATGGTAAATGGCCTGTATTTATATAGCGCTTTACTAGTCCCTAAGGACCCCAAAGCGCTTTACATATCCAGTCATCCACCCATTCACACACACATTCACACACTTGTGTTAGTGTTTTCATGGGAAAAGATGCTAGCAGTGGAAATAAAGCAAGGAAACTTGGAATTTGATTTGTGTTCTTTGGGGAATATGAGTAAGAGTGTTTTGCCTTGATTGGAGTGGCACACTCCATCTAGCCAGAAAGTACTGGAAAAATACGAAATATGTCAAAGAGGGCCTTTAGTGTCCCCATGGTGTTAGCACAAGTTGCATGTCTATCACCGTGTTGTCTCTTCCTTTAAATGAGTTCCGGTAACAGCGCTGCAAAATTATTCTTTAAAATATCTTGATGTAAAAAAAAAAGTGTCAACTATTTTTAAGTGGATTTCTAAGTCATTTTAACATCCTATTTGGTTACAAAGAAGTTGAGAAAATGTTCTCAAAGAACTGTTTTGTATTTTAAGGCTTTTTAAAAAATTCTCTCAGGAAAAGTGCAGTTTACGCAACAAAACTATGCTTTAGTCTTTTGCGCATGCATTATTTTCAAATTCATGGGTGGGACAGAAAATACCCTGCAGACTGTAGAACGGCCCACGGACACCTTTAAACTCAACAATCAGTTGAGCACATCATCCTTCCTTTGTTACATTCCTCCACTGATTGACTTTAATTTAATCTCATGTCCGTACATAGAGATGACTGTTAGTGTCGTTCGTCACTAAAACAACAAACCTTGTGCCATCAATTGCTGTGCGCGTGCGTGTATGTGTATTGGGAGGAGGGTGCTGCTAAAATAATGCCCCGGCTGTCCTGATATCCCACAATTCTACTCTCGGCTGCATAGTGGAGTTTGATAGGCTGGTGGAGAGGGGAACTGCAGCAGAGTAGCACCGCTGTCAGGAAACAGAAGCCCACTACGAATGCAACTCGCATAACCAGCTGAACGAGGACGCCGTGTCTGGTAATAAACCCATTTTCTTCGCTGCTTGTCGTTTGTACCATTACACCGAGGCTCACTTAGAGAAGATGCAAGTTTCGCGGCTTGAACGGCTCTTTGTGAGGTTTTGTCTCGTGCCACATTTTCGATCGCGTGCTCACAGCACCCGCAGCCGATGACAGATGATTAACATTAGAGTACAGTTTTACTGTATCTACTCAGGCGGAAAAAGTCTAGTGGACGTGGTTAACCGAGTCAGAAACGGGGGTCATATGGTTTTCTTTCTTTTTTAATCCCACTGTGGATTCACATTGTAACCATTCGGCGCGTAACACTGAAGCAGAAAATGTTGCTTTTTGCCGACTGAGCTGCCTGCAGCGGTGGTTAATCTGAAGCTAAAAGTCGGGGTATGCACGGATATTTTAAAGAAGCGCACCGCTTGAGGTGAAGCTGGCTAACGTGCTCAAGTTTCGGGGCCAGAAAGTGGGTGAAATTGGTGAAACGAGACGATACAGATGCTTGTCCGACCTTTAATCCCTCCCGTTTTTACATCAGTGAAGGAGAGCGCTGAGTCACTGGCAGGCAGTGTTACAATTTGCAGACAAATAATGGATTAAAACTGTCAGATTGTCCGAGGTTAAGACGACATACTTCGGTGTTTTTGATCTGCAGTGCGGTAGGCGTGGTTAGGGGCAGGATGACACGGTCTGGATCCTCTTTTAGCATCCTTACATCCTTGCTGCCACAGCATGCAATGGCTGGAGACTGACTTGACAATTTAATTAAGATGCACAGTAAGCTGCTGTTGCAGTAGTATTGAGAGGCAAGAACATTGTGGGCCTTGTAGGCAGGGATTCATAGCTCGTTTACTGAGGCTGCACCTCTGTTTACAGCTTTAGTTTGCACAGTGACAATGGAGGAGGCAGTCTTTTCATTTCACTCAACAAAAACTGCTGAGACCATTGATTTTATATGAGGAAGACCCAAATTTATATTGGTCAGTATTGTTGAATCATGATTTTTGGCTTGTATTTATACATATATAAACCATAATTTGTCTCATATACTAAAGAAGATGCTCTGACATCTGTAGCTGTGATACAAATGGTGACTCTCATGTCAAAGGCTATAAAGATGAGCAATGACCATTTGTAACTTTTTTTCTACTTCTAAATGTCACTCATCAGTTATTTGTCCAACTGTGTTTGTGTGTATATATAATGTAAAAATGTCTAGACAGACAGGTGACTTGATTATAGCACTTTCATCATCAGGATTTTGTAACACAAAAATCACATGAATAGCTTTTTTAATGATCTGATCATTACTAAAACATATTTTTAATAGTAAACCACATGACTATGGCTCTGCTAGCTCACTCAGACATCAGTGTATCTTTGTACTTTTTTTTTTTTTTTGTCTGTAACAGCTCATGAAGCTGGATTAGGTTGTAGAATAATGTTACCTTTAAGTTCTAGTAGACACAATGCCATGTAGTGACTGCTCTTAATGGGAATGCACTGGTATTCCATCAGTATTTTTCAAGTTAGTCATTCTTGGCCTATTACTGTCCAGTGAGCATAAGACTAATTTAAAAACATAATGAGCAAATGTGCCTTCAAATTTACACAGTAAACAACGTAAACGGGGAAATAAAAGGTTTATTTTAACTTTTTTTTTTATTAGTGCCAGCAGGCATTATTAGTAATTAAGTCAGATTTACTGATTGTAAATCTCCTAAAATGCTTAATCCCTTCTGGTCCGTCTCGGCCACAGTATAAGAAGTTATTAGCTTCTCATCAATATACAGAGACTTAGTTCTAATCTTTTACATTAACAGGGGTTTTTCCCTTTGTCAACTAAGGCAGACAACTCAATCGAGAGCCACTAACTCCAACAAATCCTATCAGACAGATTGTGTTTGTGTTACCCTTTCACAGAAGTCATCCATGGCCTTAAGCAACTGCATGTCAACAATCCCGCGTTGATTGTGTCGCACGGTGTGCATAGTCAGAATGCAATAACAGTAAGCTAGCTGTGTTGCCCACCGAATCATCGGAGGCCTCACTGCTAAAGACAGTAATGCTAAGAATGTAAACGCAGAAAGCCGACAGGATTTATGGCCGCCTCAGCAAAAATGCTCCCTGCTTGGAGTCACCTTCATGTGACCAGTCTACCTTCCCCAAATTCTGCTCTTGAGGTCTCACGTGTCGGCTAGATTTGTGAGGGTTCAACCAAAGGGCTTTTTAAAATTGACATCTGAAATGGCTGCTAAATTATATAATCAAATGTGCAAATACTATTTGATCAGATGTCACAAGGCCGTTTTCATGGAAGTCTCAGCAAAACCTTACAGGGATCATTTGAATGACTTGCACTCTTAAGCTGTAAACTGGCAATGGAGCGTACACACAGAAGCCATAAACCATCTGCCTCAGATGCTTGCTGAGTCTAAGATTTTACAATTTCACGCATTTATTGTCTTGCAGGGACCTTTTACAGAGAGTTGTTTTTGGAATGTCTTTGCTGGCTCTTCAAATGAAACCCATGTTTTTAATTGTCAGAACTGTTGACATGCTCAATTTTTTCCTACACCAGAGCAGGAGAACATTCAACCCAGTGTGGTATAAAACATCTGGGTCGTGTAAAATTCTTTACTCAAGTGCACGACTAAAATGCACAAAGCTATATGAAAATGTTGTAAGGAAGGTTTTCAACTCAACTTTTGATTAAGTGGAAATGGCAATAATGACCTCTATTTCATTGTTGTCACCTTGTGTGATGTCCAATCAGGTTTTTGTGTTTCAGTAAACTCGGAAGTTTCCTGGGATGATGCTGGACAGCATTTTTGGCAGAAGTCTTGAAGGTTTAGGAAGTTCTAAAGCTGTGATTAATCTTTTTTTTTTTTTATTTATTTTTTTTGATTAATCTGGTAATTGAATTTGTTAAGACAGCACTTGGCTTTTTATATATGGCGGTAATCTTTAGATGTCTTTTTGTGTCACAAGTACAGCACAAACCCAAAACAACATTTTTTTTTAATTAATTAATTTTTTTTAGCAAAGTAAGAGGAGGTAGAGCTTTAAATAAAAATGTTTTAATTACTTAAGTTATTTATTTTGATAAATAACTATTTAAGTAATAAACTTAATTGATTTATCTACTAAATCTACTAAACCACAGACTTCTCCAAAAACATGTCAATAATTTTCTTAGTCAGGACAGTTGATGAGACTTTGGGGATCTGCAGGGGTGCCTAATTTGAATGTCCAGACCAGCTACGTGATATCTTGTTACAGTGGCTGGGTTTTGGTCTGCGACAGCTGTCGGCCCTGCGGCCATGCAAAATGGTCAGATCTTATTTGGCAGGCCTGCTCGGGATGGGCCTTGACGTGTCAAGCAACGCAGACTATTCCCCTCCATGTAACCTCCATAAGTCCCTGAGGGGTAATGATTGTGGGGGCAGGGGCGGCAGGGATGGGCCCAGCTGTGGTGTACTCTGGCTAATAGCACTCAGCACAGATGGCAGTCCCTCATCCTCCCATGTGTGTGCATGAGACTTAATGTGCACAGGCCCCTTTCCAGCAGTGTGCATTACAATCACACATGGCCCTTAAATGGAGGTCTGCATGCATGGGCAGTCCTACTACAGTATTTAGTGTCTGTGATCAATTATATAATAATGCAGCTACACACCGATAAAACCCTGGCTGCACTTTTAGGATGGATGTGAATATCCACTGCAGTGTACAACCCAACCATTGCAGCTCAGTGGGATTTTATTGGTCTGTCCAGTGACAGACAGCAGGTTTTATTAACTGTGGGCCTCTTTGGATTCACAGAAAGATGAAGCATGATAAAGCAGTATTAATGTTTCTTCAGAGGTGGGTGGTTTCTACTTGTCCTTCCTTGGAAGGCATAACACAGAGAGTATTAGCTTTTATCTTAAGGTGTGACTGAGGAGACTATATGTGCTTTCATCAGCTCACATTTGACCGTGAAGCTACTAATCCAAGAGGTAAATTTGATTATATCTTTGACACTAAGTGCTTTTTTTTCTTCTGTAAGTGCTGACTTCTACTTTTATTACTTCCAGAATTTACAGGGGGAACAAACAGATGTTTTAAAACTTCCCATTTTTATAATACGCTTCTGTTTTAGAGACTGTTCCCAGTCAACAAAATGTTTTGCATGTAACTGATTCTAGATCAAGTACATACATTAGTGAAGTTGAGGTGAGAGGATGAGCAGTAATTTAGTTGCTTTGTCAGCACATTGAGTTGTCTATTTCTGTCCTTATATACCTGTTAAAAGGTAAATCTTGTAAGTTTACTAGAGCCTTCAAAAAGACTTGAACTTGATAAAATGGCATTGAACCCTTTCTTTTCCAAACACATTTTTGAAGTACTTTGGCTGAAACTTGTCTTCTATATTGGTACAATATTGGGCAGCTACTAGCAGAAATCCCGGGCAATACATGGCTTTCTTTCTGAATGCATAATTTATGTACCAGTCCATGGTGGAGGGCCACACACAGGACTACTGTGTAGGCTGTTGTGTTGCACTGTGAAGAGTGCCTGTCACCAGTGACTGAACTTATTCTTCCTCCATTTCTATGGTGCTAAGATGTTCCGTTCCACCACTCCTTCCATAGTTCCTTTTTCATAAAAGGATTAAGAAAGGCAAAGGTTAGCTACGCAGCCATCTTCTGTCAGCTGATTAGTGATCCGCGCCTCAACTCTGCCGCACATGACACAACAAAGTTGCAGCGAAAGAGGTTTTGACAGGATTTTTGCTTGAATTCAGCTCAGTGGTCTTTTACATTTCTTGTCTTCACTTGGAAAACATGGGTTGGAATTTGGACCTTGTGACTTTATTCGTTTATTCAAAGTGCTGCTGCTCAGGCTTTTAATCTTGATTAGGTCATCTTTATAGCCCTTTTTATGAGGTCTGAAGTTGAAAAGTGTTTGATCAGCACGTTGCATTCAGTGACCCTTAGAGCTTAGAATGCTCATGACTTTTTAGAAAGCATAGTTTCCACTGATTTGAGTCCATGAATTACTGTTGCTTTATATCAGCATCATTCTGATCCATTAAATGACCAACAACATGCTGGTTTGAAGTGTTTCTGCTACTTGGCAAAGTTTGAGTTTGCATTATTTTTGAACTGCTAGTTTGAAGCAATTCCATCAGGATTTAAGAGGAGTGCTCATTAGCAAAGATGAAATATTTTCTGGCATTCAAAAAGCAATTGCCTGTTTAAGTAAAGCATCGTTCTGCATTAGAATTAGCAGCTAATACCAAATGGCTTTGAATCAAGGGGCTGACAACACAACCTTGAGTCTATTCAGCTCAAAACTATTTTGAAGCTAAAAAGTGCAAGATGAACAACGCATCCGAGGCATGAGGTCATGTAGTCCAGCTGTTAATAATCTAGACGCATGGAGCTGGACGTGTTTGCCAAATTCAAATCTTTAAGGTTTTCAGAGATTTTTTTTTTTTTTCCAGTCTGGTAAAATGTCTTGAAAGGCTTGTAACAATCAGATGTAATCAGTCATACCAAGTAGATGTTATCTTGTTTTAATGTGCTCAACGTTTGAGTTGCAGATGTTGGCATTTCTTAATGACTGTTTGATTATTTTGAGGATTGCCCCTAAGAAGTGTTGGTTTTGTTGATCCAGACAGTGCTGACCATGCCCACAGCTAGAAGTAGATCTTCCTTGGAATCTTCCGTGCTTGCAGTAAACACAGCCCTATAAATAGAGCTCAGGGAAAAGTATACCAGCAGCAGAATGACAGGCATCCATACTACAAAACCCAGGCTCTGTGCAGCAGAGGCGCGGTATGCCGTTCCACACACAAACAGCCTCCAAACCCCACATCCCAGTGTCAAAGACTGTGGGTACAGTTAGCCTCCGGTGTGAGCTGTCCTTTCTGTCATTTTTGTTTGTCAAATCTAGCCATTAGATATATCCTCATTACCCAGCCTCAGGCCCTTGGGACCACATCCATCGCTGATATGCTGCTATTCACAGAAGCAGAAGGTCATGCCATGAAAAACACGTACTGGTGCAGCTCAGACACTTTGGATTCCTGAGTGTAAACACTACAGAGAAACTGGGGGCTTGTACTTTAATACAGAGTTAATCAAGCTGTTTTGTGTTGTTAAAGTAACTGCAGATAAGAAAAAGGCAGATTACTTTCTGCTTTCTCCAGTGAATTGCTGCTTTTCATTTAGTTTTCCTCTGTGGAATTAATATATTTAAGTTTGATTTTTTTTTTTTTTTTTGTTTATTTTTGATATTTACTTCGAAAATGTAAAATATTTTCCAACTTCAAATTCCCAGAATTGTCTGAACAACAGGTAGGAAGCATAAAGTGATGTTTTTTTGTCTTGTGCAAAAAATAGTGGAGCTCCACACTGGAGAGCTTGAGATGTTTGACATTTCCATCGGATTCATTCAAATATTTAATCAATTTAAATCGTTTTATTATGGTTTCTCACTTAATTTCCTCCTAATCAGCAAATTAGGCCAATTTAATTGATTTACACATGTAAATTTTTCACAGATGCTTTTATCAGAATGTGAAACAACTGCAGAAGTTCATAAAGTATTTGATTAATAAACTGACAAAAGTAATTGGCAAATATATTCAGACATTTTCCTAGACTTATTTTTTCTCATATTTTAGAAACCAATTTATAAAAAAAATACTTGCAGAAATAGATATTTGTTACAGTTGCAGATATTATTTTAAATTTGTTTAATTCCCCTTAGTGAGCTTTGGATATATTGTAGAATTTGTTGACGTCATGGTACAAGCAGTCCAAGCCCTTAGCATTGTCAGCTACTGACACTACTGTGATTAGTTAAAAGGGGGACGTGAGTGCACCAAAGCCACTTGCATTCATGCCTATTCTGCTGTCAAACAATATCCACATCTCTGCATTTGCATCAGAGGGGAGCTTATCGTTAGACGGGCCCGAAAAGCGGCGCTGCATCAATTCATAACAAGTCAGCTGACTCATCCACTTTTCCTCTTTACCCTCCATTTTCCTCCACTCCAGTGTGATTTACCATGACAACTGAATCAGGCGCCGACTCGGAGGCCAAGCAGCCACAGGAGAATAAGGAGACAGAAAAGGGGAAAGCAAAAGCGGCATCCCAACCCAGCCAGGTGGCAGCCGAGCCCGCCTTGCCTCAGAACCAACCGGAGCAGCTTCCAGCCGCCGTCGGACACAGTACCCCGGCCAGGAAAGAACAGGTCAGCCTCTTTGTAACCACATCCACCCACTGTCACTTCTTTTAAAGATGGAACATCCATCCATCGCATCCACCATAATTTTCCTTTAAACATACTTTTACTGAATTTAATATTAGGAAAAAAACAAAACAAACTTTGCCACTTTATTTAAGAATGATTCTTTTGTGGTGTAAACATTGTATAGATCCTTTTGAATTTGACAAAACATTACACACCATTCATCCCTCTTCTGAATGAATTGTGGCTTTGTGAGGAAAAAATGGAAATGAACGTGGGGAGGGGGAGAGAATGTGAAGACGTGACCTCAGTCCTCCATGGCGGTTACAACCATGCGTCAGATGCATTTGTTTGTTTGTGAGGAAAGCCTGGTGTTCAGTTAGAGCTTTATATATTAGAAATGGGAAGACGCATAGATCAAGAAACCTTCAATTGTGGATGCTTTGTTTTCAGGCTTTACAGCAACTAAGGCAGTTTGACAGATATAGTCACTGTCACTGATCGGCCACACGCACGGGCAGTTTGGTGAGGGATGATTTTAGTTGTTTTATTTTGCCGTCTTTGTGTTTTGCCTCTTTCACAGGTTTTCTAAATAACTTGTCTACATAACAGCAAGGATGCCACAGCCATCCTTGCTGTTATGTTGAATAACTTATGAATTTAATTCAGTAGAAACCTGGCATTATTTGCAATCATCACAACAATCATTTGTTGTACTGACTGTTTTTTACATCTCTCCCAATTTGCAACTTCCTGCAGCTGTGGGGACAATGATTGGAAGAATTTAGGGAACAACCTGGAATTAAACCCGTTGAGTTGAGTCTGAACTTTGATGAAGACTTTTGGTGTATTTTAAAATGTATCCGTAAGATTGCACACCACTTCGACGCATGAACATGTTTAAATGATTTTACATGTTTGACAAAGAAGCTGGACGAGTCTAAAACCAGAGAACAGTGATCTCTGGTAGTATAATATTATACCCTGTAGCCTATCCGTGTTATATCTGATGAAGCCTGGGAAGCTACTGATGTTATCTGAGCACTAAGTGCTTGTCTTCAGGTTTTGGCCCAAACAGCCTTCTGGCTCACTATTTAATCGATCTGCAGATTGAATTTCCAGTGCTTCCAAACTACAGAGGTTCAGTGTGAGGTAGATCCCTGCTTCTTCTCTAATTTATTACTTGAAAGAAAAACATTTCACCAGCTGCACATGCTTGTAGATGTGGTCACTTACTGTGGTAGTTAGTGGAAAATGTATATAAAAAGTTACATCTCAAACAACTTAACAGGTCACATTCCCAGTCTACATAGTGTTTGTGTTGCTTTAAACGTCTAGGATGTGTTTACTCACTCAGAAAACTTTAAATCCATGTTCAATATTTTTTTTTTTTTTTTTGGTGACTTTGAACTTTGAACTTCTTAATATGTTGGAGCGTGTAACCATAGTTTGAATGTGCTCAGGCTCACAACCCCACTCATTTAGCAGGTTCTTATCATGATGTGGAAAGGAGAAGGATTTAAATGGTGCCTTTGTTGAAAAGAAGCTTACACGTGAATCATAACAGGCTGTAATGAGAGAGCAGCAGTCGCAGGGCGATGTGATGGATAAATTAATTATATACAATGCAGGGTAATGTGGTGAAACGGTGATGAAATAAATGACATGTTTTCATGTTAACAAAGTCTGACTTGTACAATATTTTGCATTGATGTTATTGATATCATTTGTCTACATTAAACACTTCTGTGGTAGCCAGATTTTAATTTCAGCTTTAGGCTTTACATGGGCGCAGCATTGCTTTCATTCAGATGCTAAAACTTGACTGTGTCTGCAATCTTTATAAAGCTATTTAGCGTTGCTAAAAGAGCAGCATATTCCCTTTGGCCTCAGTTGTCCTTAGGAATGGGGTTTTTAGTCATAAACCAAAAATCTTGGACTATTGATGGCGCTGGATTCAAAATACTGGGAATCCAATTACTACCCTGTCTTCCCAGGGTAATGCTTATTTGTGCTGCATTTCTCAGACATTAGTCAAGCACTTGGTGAGATATTTAAGATGTATACAGAGACTGGATATAAAAGATGGGTGTAATATGGCCAGCACAAACATGTGTTCTGAGAAACCGAGGACACTGCGTGCTCACACAGTAGTGACTCGTCAGTCACAGCGTAGCCATGTCCTAAAGCGTTCCTCCTCCGTCATCTGCTTTTATCGAAATCGGGATCAGGAATTGAAGCAATTGAATGGGCAATTGTTACCATAAAGTGATTAGGAAAGCACCTGCTGGGATAATAAGGCAAGTGAGAAGTGGGATCATTATCTTACAGGTTTCTACCTGAGATTTCTTTTTTGCATATAGATGAGTCGCTCCCTGCTGGCCACTAGAGAAAATGCTAAGGCAGCTCCCTTTTGGCTTCACCTCTCAGGCTACAGTTTGTGGTTTGGTCCAAAGTGAACATTGCTATTCTCCTAGATCCAAGTAGCTCCAGGGGAATAGTTATACATATATATGATCTTCTTTTATAACTTGCAGTGTTGCCCACTGAGCTAATCGACCCCAGGATTCTTTCAAATTCACACAGCAACATTATGCACCCCTTGTTTTTCCACACTGAGGATGATCAGTGATGCACCATCAGTGTTAGAGCTGTGGGAATTGCCAGGAGCAAGACTGAGGGGAAATTGCACCAGTCTGACACAACACTGTCGGCCTTCCCTGCGAGGCACGTTCTCCAGCAGGGTGCACATGTAACTGTGATTTCATACATCTGTGGTGCCTGTTCTCACCAGTCATACGTCAAACAAATGGGGGGGGAAAACGTGTCTTGTGGTATTTCCTAGAAATGTTAACTTGACCTTTCATTCTTGTGTTCTTTAGAGTCATCTTATTCTGCTTCTATTGTTTAATACTACATCAAAATGAGTCTACAGGGAGAGTAGTCCACATGAGCTGCAGTAGATACTGCAGGAACAATGCAATGAAAATGGCTTGAAGAGCAAGATAAGAAATGTTCTTCATCAGAATAAAAGGGGGGAATTAAATTCACTGTATGTAAGAAAGAAAAATATCTCGAAGCAACGGCGTCTATTCAGCATAAAGTCAGTCAGCAAAGGCTTTGTTTTCAGCGAAGTGGAAAATTGGATTTTCTCTCCTTAAGACAAAATGGCGGTACACCCCTAGCTGTTCTCAGTGGGACCTGATTACACTCAGTCAGGGTCCCAGTGTCTATTTTTAGGTTTACATTAACGGTCATTTAGGTAAGGAAACTTCTCTTCTGGTGGACATTTAGAGACGTTAATGCCTCTATCCACAATTAGCATGACAAGGTAGAAGCAGCTCATTACTTTTAACAAGGAAATTCCATTCAGCTCTATCCCAAATGTAGAAAACTGTTATTGTAAATGTATTATTCTCATTATTTTTAAGTGACACATTTTCCTCTTTTTGCCAGGAGCAGCAGGAAGAGGATCTGGTATCCCACAGGTCATCCACCAGTCGTCTGTCTAGGTCTCCGCTGAGAGGAGTCAAGAAGGTGAAGATCATGCAGTGTAAAGTCACTCTGCTGGATGGCTTAGACTTCACGCTCAATGTAGAGGTGAGACGCTTTAAGTTTAACAGAGTGGTGGTCATTTTAAATATTCTGTTTCCATCAGCTTCGTCACTACTTTAATATGTAAGAGACTCGAGCCACATGGAAACTGTTCAGGTCCAAAAAGAGAAGGCAAGAATCAAATCAAATCACTTTTATTGTCACATCACATGTGCAGGTACACTGGTACAGCACATGTGAGGGAAATTCTTGTGTGCGAGCTTCACAAGCAACAGAGGTGTGCAAAAGTACAATAACATAAGAACAAGCAAAATATAAGAATGGCTAAATCTGAGAATTATATGAATAAATATATGTACAATATAAGAGTGTATGCATATTACTGAATGTGTATACTAAATATGTATGTCTGTGTGTATATGTGTGTGTGTATATGTGTGTGTGTGCTGTGTGTGTGTGTGTGTGTGTGTGTGTGTGTGTTTGTGTGTGTGTGTACATATTTTACAAATTAAATAGAGTAACAATAAAATATACAGAGTTGAGATATGTGCAAAACAGTGGCATTACTGTACAGTATGGAGTGCATAATGTTGAAGTTCCAGTAGTGAAGCTGAGGTGTCTATGACGTGTTCAGCAGTCTGATGGCCTGGTGGAAAAAGCTGTCTCTCAGTCTGCTGGTACGGGACCGGATGCTGCAGAACCTCCTTCCTGATGGAAGTAGTCTGAACAGTTTATGGCTGGGGTGACTGGAGTCCTTGATGATCCTCCCCGCTTTCCTCAGGCACCGCTTCCTGTAGATGTCTTGGAGGGAGGGAAGCTCACCTCCAATTATCCGTTCAGAGCACCGCACTACTCGCTGGAGAGCTTTGCGGTTGTAGGCGGTGCTGTTGCCATACCAGGTGGTGATGCATCCAGTGAGGATGCTCTCAATGGCACAGTGATAGAAGGTCCTGAGGATGCGGGGGCTCATGCCGAATCTTTTCAGTCTCCTGAGAAAGAAGAGGCGCTGCTGCGCCTTCTTCACTGTTTTGTTTATGTGTACTGACCACGTAAGATCCTCAGCCAGATGTACACCAAGGAACCGGAAGCTGCTCACTCTCTCCACAGCAGCGCCGTTGATGGTGATGGGGGTGTGTACTTCTCTGCACCTCCGGAAGTCCACTATCAACTCCTTTGTCTTTGCGACGTTGAGGGTGAGATGGTTGTCTTGACACCAGTGGGTCAGGGCGCTGACCTCCTCCCTGTAAGCCGTCTCATCACCATTGGTGATAAGACCCACCACTGTAGTGTCGTCCGCAAACTTCACAATGATGTTGGAGTTGTTAGTGGCTGTGCAGTCGTAGGTGTAGAGTGAGTACAGGAGAGGGCTCAGTACACACCCCTGTGGAGCACCAGTGTTCAGTGTGATGGGGGATGAGGTGATGCTGCCCAGTCTGACCACTTGGCGTCTGTCAGACAGGAAGCTAAGGATCCAGCTGCAGAGGGAGCTGCTCAGTCCTAGATCCTGCAGTTTCCTGTCCAGCTTCGAGGGAACGATGGTATTGAATGCTGAGCTGTAATCTACAAACAGCATTCTCACATACGTGTCTCTCTTCTCCAGGTGTGACAGGGCAGTGTGTAGTGTCAGGGCTATGGCATCATCAGTGGACCTGTTGTGGCGGTATGCAAACTGTAGAGGGTCCAGTGAGTCGGGTAGTGCAGAGCAGATGAAGTCCCTGACCAGCTTCTCGAAGCATTTGCTCACGATGGGGGTCAGGGCTACAGGTCGCCAGTCGTTCAATGAGGAGATGGTGGAGGATTTGGGTACAGGGACGATGGTGGCCATTTTGAAGCAGGCTGGGACTACAGACAGAGAGAGGGAAAGGTTGAAGATGTGTGTAAACACTCCGATCGCCTGGTGGGGACCAGAATCAGCTGATTTCTAGTGTTTTCAGCTCTGACTGCTGAATGGCTGGTTGGCTCCCTTCATGTCGTGTTTATATAAGAACTTGTTTATGAGCCCTGTTCCATCACATTTGTCAAGTAAAGTTATCTTTATTTTTCCTTCTGCATGTGAAATGCAGCTCATGGCGTTCCACTGCACTATTATTATTATTATTATTATTATTATTATTATTATTATTATTATTATTATTATTATTATTATTACAGTTGAGCGATGTGAGCAACCTTACGTATTGCTTTAATATATAAAACAAATGTTTCCTGTCAGGGCGTCAGTGATCATCAGTACTCACATGATTTGATAGCTTGTGCCAGTGGTCTTCTCCATTACCCAGAATTCATCTGTGTGTTACTTTTATGATCCCTGCACGTTGTATTAACAGAATAAAGCTGCTGTTTTGACGGCCCTGCTTAGAAGCAGTGATTTCACGCTTTTCTCTGCACACTCGCATTTGCATTGTCAAACTGTTTTATGGGATTTTGTTTTTCCTCCAAACCTTCTCTGGATGGTCTGTAGGGGGGAACAAAATATTCATGTAATGGTTCTTAAATGTTCAGTTCTTACTTCAAAGCTCATCTGCTCTCCAGAAATAAACCCTTTGAGGAAAAGAGAGCCAACAATCAGTGGAAAACATGTGTCTTTGTGTTGTAAATGTGAAACTCGGAACCCCACACTAGCCTAGAAGCATGGCTTTTATCATAATATAGGGAAATTAAATATGGAAATGGGATATTTTGGGAGGAGAAGAAATGGAGCATGAGTTGGTTGTTAATCATTATTAGCATGGCGGGGTGTGGATGGAGTCATTGCTTTCAGAGCTCGATAATCTGTCAAAGAATTTTATTTATTTATTTATTTGTCGGTTTGCTGTGTGGTTTTGACCAACTGTGTCAGACTGTTTTGAATTTCTCCATTTGTATTATCTTATTATTTCTGCTTTGTAAAGTTTTTCTAAAGCAGAACTGTGTTCGTTTGAGTGGGACCCTCTGATAAGCTGCAGTCTTTAAGTATCGAGTATTCAGGAATAACCTCACAACTAATAGAGCCTTTGAGGCAAATGCCTTTCTGTTGTAAATATGAGTTTAGCTCCACAGCCGAACAGCTGCTTTCTGCCCTTCAAACAGTCTTTCTTTCTGTCTGAGTGTCATTAATTCAGGAGTAAGTCTGACTTCTGAATTTATGTGACATTTGGCTCATGAAATATTTCTTCCATAGCAAAGTTGAGTCTTTTGTCAAAGTTAGGAAACTTTGTAGGATTCCCAAAACGTGTTCAGGCTGAAAAAGAGAAGCAGACCCTCCTCTGCAAATCTCCTTTAGCGGATTCCTCCCCACCAGGGGCTGGGATGGAGGGATTGGCTGGCTGGTTTGGGGCAATGGGGGCAATTGTTGGAGGGAATCAATGTCATTGACACAGTGGGTTGGCATGATTACGAAGACCCACTGTGCCACTGGAAGGACTTATATTATGGATGGTGACGTGGAAGTGGGGGATCAGTCCAGATTTGTTAACCTTAAGTCAGAAAAAGTTTTTTTATTTGTTTTAGTTTATGCTGAAAGAGCTACACATGGTCTAAAATATGAACACTTTAAGAAAACAAAGACATTTTTGAGAATTTTCAATTAAAAACATTTCATGTTTTATTGAAATGTTTAATAAATGTGTTACACAACCTGAAAAATTCAAAACATGACTCTGAAGCCTTCTTTCACAAATGGCAGGTAATTTACCCCTCTTGTGACCCTCGTGAAAAAAGGGACCCAAACGGGACCCTTTTTTCACGAGGGTGACACGAGGGGTAAAGGGGTATCTCACTAATTTACTGCTGCTAGGCAACGTGCCTTCTGTGTTATTACCAAACATGGCTCAAGCACCAAAACACAAACACAACTAAGCAGCATCTTTGGTTTTAGTTTGGCTTGGTTGGCTTGTAAATGGTTTAAAGTAAGCTTAATATTAAGAGATAAAGGTCTTTAAGCCAAAGCTGAGATAACCTTTACCACCAAGGGTTGTTGTTTTAGGTTTTTTCTGACTGAAGTCCACTCCTCCAGATTCACAGAAAACGTTATTGATGCTTTTCTTAAGCAAACTGATCTTGTGTGTGTGTGTGTAATCAGTAGGGTTACACCAGACAGCAGCAAGATGTGACCTAATCGTGTGCTTTCAAACATGTTACCTTATGAGATTTATTTATAATGTATCAGTACATTTGTGTTTATTTTAATTGAGTTTACTTCAGATTATTATGAATAGACGGTCAGTTATAAGGAGCTCACAAAAGAGAAAAATTGATAATTAAATAAAGTTTCTAATTTTAAATTCTTTTCTTTTTTCATCTTAATACTTAGTGTTTACTTATTGCATCCCATCTGCTTACTATACTGTAAGCTCCCAGTGCTGCCCACCTGCTAGGATGGGCAAAGCAAAGGCTTTCTTTGCCCCACTTTACTATTTCTGAACACTAAGATCCATTATTTTAGGGAATACTTCCAGATGACGGTGGATTTGGTGTATTAGAGGGGATATGAACTACTCTGTGGAGTAAGAAATATAAAGCAGAGAAAAGTTGACGATTGTATCGTCTAAAATGTTTGATTATACAAAAACATCAAGCAAAAATGAGAAAATTCACATTTAACGTTTAGCTCATAGCTCAAGCGTAGCTCATTGCCTAGACTGTCCCGTACTTATAAAACGTGAAGTTAGTGCTTATTTAGTTTGTGTCAAAAATGTTACTTTTTTTGTCTTTTCTTTTTTACCATGGACCCAATTGAACCAGAAAAACTTTTTTTTTTTTTTTTTTAATGCTAGATTGTATTCCATCCATCCATCCATCCATCCATCTTCATCCGCTTTATCCGAGGCCGGGTCGCGGGGGCAGCAGCCTAAGCAAAGAGGCCCAGACCTCCCTCTCCCCAGCCACCTCCTCCAGCTTATCCGGGGGAATACCAAGGCGTTCCCAGGCCAGCCGAGAGATATAATCTCTCCAGCGTGTCCTGGGTCTGCCCCGGGGCCTCCTCCCGGTGGGACATGCCTGGAACACCTCACCCAGGAGGCGCCCAGGGGGCATCCTTGTGAGATGCCCGAACCACCTCAGCTGACTCCTTTCGATGTGGAGCAGCAGCTGCTCTACTCTGAGCCCCTCCCGGATGACCGAACTTCTCACCCTATCTCTAAGGGAGAGGCCAGCCACCCTTCGGAGGAAGCTCATTTCTGCCGCTTGTATCCGCGATCTCGTTCTTTCGGTCACTACCCAAAGCTCGTGGCCATAGGTGAGGGTAGGGACGTAGATCGACCGGTAAATTGAGAGCTTCGCTTTTACACTCAGCTCCCTCTTCACCACGACGGACCGGTGCAGCGTCCGCATTACTGCAGCTGCAGCCCCAATCCGTCTGTCGATCTCCGGCTCCCTTCTCCCATCACTCGCGAACAAGACCCCGAGATACTTGAACTCCTCCACTTGGGGCAGGAACTCATCCCCGACCCGGAGTGGGCACTCCACCCTTTTCCGGCTGAGAACCATGGCCTCAGATTTGGAGGTGCTGATCCTCATTCCCGCTGCTTCACACTTGGCTGCGAACCGTTCCAGTGTGAGCTGGAGGCCCTCACCCGATGAAGCCAACATCTGGTGAGGGTGCTAGATTGTAAAAACAGGAATTTTTATCTTATTCAATTGTTTATCTATTACTTTACTACGTTGGTGTAGTATAAATGGTAAGGGGGGGGGGGGGCTTTATTCATAGGAAAAGCTGTAAAAGTTCAAAATCTATACACTCGTTCACATTTTCCAACACCTTCCAGTGGGTCGAATTGGAGTCTGACATGGCTGATTCTGGACCCAGGGCCTTTCATTTGACACTCCTGGTTAAATGAATAACAATATTGTTACAGTGCAGTGTTCTGCTTAGAAATGCACAACATAGACATTTTGTGACACTGTGTTAAGAAGCAGTGCATTTTATTTATTTATATTTTTTAATTTGTGGGTGCAGAAAGAAGTGTGCTGTGTGTTGTTCAAATCAAAAAGTGGAAAGCCCTCTTTACACCTACTCGGGACATTTTCTTTTCTGCACACCTTTTTAACGAGTAATGCTACAAAATCAGGCTGTGTTAATCGATGCAGTGGCATGCATGACACCTGCTTGATAATGCTCTTAATCACAGTAAAGGTGTCTCCATTTGTGCATTGTTTACAACAGTGACTAATACTTGCAATCACTATGATATAAAGCAGGAGACTAAGTTCGCTGCTTCCTGTAAGGCTTTTCATAGCAGCAGTTAAGGCACTAACATGACCAGTCAGAAGAATTTAATTTCAGCTTTAGGGGGAAAAAATGCTCTGTGTGCTCCTGCAGCTGAGGGTGAGCCGGACAAAAGCCAGGTCAGCTTATGGTGTTTGACACAGTAGTACAGCTGATGTCAGAAGACCCTCATAATTGCCAGGGAGTTCTTTTCCTCCTCCCAGTCCAGACTTGAAACTGGTCCAGAATGTCAGGATTTGACATTTTTATCCTCCTGACCTTGTAGTTTTCCAGCTCAATTTAATTTCCTCCTGTGGGGGGAAAAATGTCCGCACTAATCGTTTCCTATCATTTTCTATGACACAGAACAGCTGAACCGCTCTCCCTCACTTCAAAGGTTGTTGAGTCTAAGTGGAGGCAGAAAAACATCCCACACAATGTGTTGAATTGCTTTCAGTTAAATCATCCTTTCTCTAAAGGACATGAGAATTCATGCTAAATTTTGGCTTTAATTAGAGCTAAAGTGATTAGTCAGTGAGTCTGTTGGCAGGCAGTTATTTAGCCTATTTTGATAGTCAGTTAATCAAATTTAGTCTTTTATCTTTGTGAAATTATTATTGTTGGCTTTTGGACAGTCAGTTGGATGACACAGGATGCCTGAAGGGATCAAAGACTCTGGAAAAATGTGTTGTCTAACATTTTATAGGTCAAGTAATGACTGAAAGTGTTCTTAAAATGACTAGAAAACTCTAATTAAAGTAACAGATAAACCATAATGCATGGTTTGATGCACAATCAGTTTGTAATCCTTAGGAGTGTTTAACCTCTGTGACGGTCTCACTGTCCTGATTGATCAAGCTTTTACAATTTAAGATCAGTATACTTCTGATTTCTGGTCTTTCTTCTGCTAGAGAACTCCAGGAATACGTGTGCAGTACCCCATTAGCTTATTTATAGATATAGTTTAATGATTGGCAGCTTATTTGACTGATCTGAAAACCTCTGTTTGCATATCACAGCCATTTTTTTTTTTTTTTTTTTTTTTTTTTATCTGCGTCATTTAAGCCAGCCAGCTTTAAGTGTTGCATTAAGAGGAGATTGTCACACCCAGGCAGCAGTAGTCTGACATAACTGTGCTAATTCCCTCGGAGATGTTCTGGTAGGATTAACTCTCTGCCACCAGCACCTCTACCAGCATTGTTAAAATCACACGCGCACACACATGCAAGAATCTTCTTATTTAAAGATGTGTGTGTGTGCTCATGCACACACCCGTTAGTTCTTTGTTTCACATCCAGGATGTATTATTGCATCCATGTGAGTGTGGCAGATAAATAGCCGTGTTCTGGATAGGTTAGGCTGTGGCTGTGGGCTTCAGCCGATCCAAACGTGACGAGCTGGCATTGGTTTTGTGCAAGCAGAAGACGTCTGTGTCATGGCAACTCGGGCCTTAAAATATCCTCTGTGAGCTGGTCAAATGAGTCCTGGAAGTCCAACCTCTTCACGAGGGGGGGATGACAAAGCTCCAGCTGATGACGTCCAGCACTCAGATGTGCAGTCGATCGATGTAATGCATTCACGCAACCAATGGTCAGGAATTTGAAAGTGTGTTTATGCTTTTTATAGAGGGAATCGATCCAGAGTTGCCAGGTTGGTGGATTGTGTCTCCGGTACCCAGGCTTACATCACGCAGCAGAATAATAATAATAATTTGCTTCATTTTCACAAATTTATATTCATAATGGGGTTTTGCAGAGATGAGCTCACTTTCATTTAATTATCGAGATAACAATAAGAAGAGAAGGACTTGAAGGGTAACGCAGTCCCACGGCAGCATAAAATAGCTTTTTAAGCTGCAACATGGATTAATGATATTGCTTTATTGTTTGTGTTTATCATTATTTTGTGTGTAATTGTTAAGCAAATCAGGACAAATGAAGGGTTTGCATTACTGGAAAAACTCTTAAAAGAAATTACACAATCCTACTAATCTAATTCGGTGTGACTGTTTATTTTAAATGAGTTTCTGTGTTCTGTATGTTCAAATGTTTCACATCAGTATACCCATCAAATGACTCTGCATTCAACATGTGCTTTTATTCTTTTTCTGTTCACAGAAACGAGCCAAGGGCCAGTTCCTCTTTGATAAAGTGTGTGATCACCTCAACCTACTAGAGAAGGACTATTTTGGCATTACATATAGAGATGTAGAGAATCAAAAGGTACTTTTTTATTTTAAGGCAATCTTATTAACTAACATGTTATATATTTTTACTTGGAAAGTGGTTCATCGACGGTAGGAAATGAAGTTAAATGTTTCTTTCAAGAAGACATTTATAAGATAACTGTTACATATGCATACCAGGCAGGATTTCCCCCTCTGAGTTCTTGGTAATTTGCTCCCAAATTAGAGATGGTTTCATGTTTCATCTTCTGTGGTTGTCTCGCAGAATTGGCTAGATCCTTCCAAGGAGCTGAAGAAGCAGATCAGGAGTGAGTGCAGCAATCCAGTGAAGCTACCTGATTGTTATATCCTCTGAATTTCCTTTGCTGTTGTTGAATGTTGATTTTTAATCATTTGATGTTCTGTCAATACCTCAGCTGGACCCTGGAACTTTGCTTTCAATGTAAAGTTTTACCCACCAGACCCCTCACAACTGACTGAGGACATCACAAGGTCGGTTTTGCTGTCCTTTGCTTATGTTCTTCTATAAACCTTTTATAGACTTGGATGCATAAAAATGTACTTCTAGCACTTAAAAATCTCAGGAAGTTTTCAAAGAAATGAGAAAATCCAGACATTAGATATGATTTTTTTTAAAAACACGAAATTGCAGTTTTGTTTACATATATATTGTATATTTTGTCCTCATTCTCTCAGGTACTACCTGTGCTTGCAGCTGAGGGATGATGTAGTTTCAGGTCGCCTGCCCTGCTCCTTTGCCACCCACACGGTGCTGGGCTCGTATACAGCGCAGTCCGAACTTGGAGACTATGACTCAGAGGAGCTCGCCAGCGACTACCTCAGTGAACTGCGCTTCGCACCCAACCAGACCAAAGAGCTAGAGGAGAAGGTCATGGAGCTCCACAAGACTTACAAGTTAGTATCTGTAGTACTATTTATTAATAGAAAGAGTCAGAAGGGTGTCAAATAGTCCAGTGAATTTATTATTGGTGGTCATAAACATGTCACTTTAAATTTCTTCTGTGGAAATGACACATGACATGTTCGTAGAATGTTTTTAGAAAATATAAACTGCTTTTCTCGTCTCACTGAATGGATCGCATATGATACATAGAACATAAAAGGATTAGTGCTGTCAGTGTTAATCTCGTTAAAATGATAATGTCGTTAGTGAGTTAGCGCGTTAACGTCAGTTTAACGAAATTAACGTTGACAGCACTAAAAAGGACCCATCTTTGTTTTTCTACTAATAAAATGCTCTGTTTGCATTTAATGATGACATGTGTGTAATAAGGTCCTCTGATCAAATTCTTCATAAATCTGAAGTTGAATTGCACATCTAGGTTTTATGTCATTATTAGGCCTTGAATCAATCTGTGAATCTGAGTGAACATTCATAATCTGACCTAAGTCTCTCTTTTGAGCCCCCTCATTCCCCTTTATTGCAATGATTTTTCAGGATTAGGGTCTTAGACAATCTAAAAATGGATACACTTAGAATTCTCAATAGAACTTCAGCTAAAAACATCCATGAAAACAGCCTTTTTCCAAAATCTTTCAAGCTATAATCCTGCTAATAATCCATGTAGAGATTTTCTCTCTCTCTCTCGTCACATTGGTCAGAAAGGTTTAAGTCTGCTTTTAAGAAAAAAAGAGAGGTTTAAATCTCTTTGCCTTACGTGTTTATGTCTGACGTGCTCTGTTGTCTGCATTCAGGGGGATGTCACCGGCTGATGCCGAGATGCACTTCTTGGAAAATGCCAAGAAGCTATCCATGTACGGTGTGGACCTCCACCACGCTAAGGTAGCAAATCGCAACAAATCTTAAGTATTTATTTATTAATATTTCTTACAACACAATGATATATCAGTCTATAGAATTCAACCTAACTGGTTAATGTGAAGTCAAATGTGGAAATCGATTTAGTTGTTTTTTTTTAAAGGTTAACCTGTGAGTTTTTACAGCGTGCTTCATTGTACATGCAAACCAAACAGTAACTTTTTTCCCCTCTTTACAGTCGACATGTGCAAGAAAGCAAACAACCATCACTCAGTCTCATATTTACTCATTAAATATGAAGTTAACATTGGCACAGAGTCTAAAAGTCTCTCTCCCACCAGTACATGAATATATCGCTAATTTACACAAATGAGAGGCTTCACCTTTATGTGAGGTTAGAATAGTCTTTGTGTAAAAGATGGACTTAGCTACCACGATATCACAGAGGCCTAAGATAAAAACACCAAAATGTAAAAACTAGTTATTTAATTTGTTACTATAAACAAAGAGGTGGAGCTGAAGGACTTTCACCTCGTCAGACGTGGTGGGTGTTTCAAAACAATTCATGTTTTTCAGAATGTGGACGTAAACTGTTTTTGGCGTTTTCTGTGTGAGGTCTTATACAAACACATCACCCATGCAGTCGGTATTGACGCTTGCTACCACAACACTGCTGCTTCAGACACATCATGGCTGCCACAGTAATGCCTCGATTTAACATGCCACCGCTGCTCCCCTGACTGACTGACATTGTGTCACTGTTGCCTCTCTGGGGATGGGATGGGTTTAAGAGGGGCGATAGGTGGGAGGGGGTCTGGAGCCCAGCTTGACTTGGATAATTTCCCATCTGTTTTATTCTACTGTCCAGATTGGATCAAATATGTCACTAGAAAACGAGCGGTAAAAACAGAGAGCTGGTGTAGGACAGCGGGGCCGCTGTTGTCATAAAATAAAATTACAGCCATCAGTCTTCTTGATATGAATCTGTTATCAAATGTGCTTTGAAAGTCAAAAAAGGGTCTAGATGCACATGATGGAGAGGAAATTGCCTTCACAGATTTAGATCAGAATAGAGGAGATGACAGAGATGCGGAAGCGGCCTTGATCAAACCGAGCAGACATCAATGCTCAGTGTTGCTTCTGTGAGTCACAGTTTTGATACACGAGAAAAAGATGTACATATCAGACCAGCATCCCTCTTTTGTCTTCTCTCCTCTCTCACTAAATGCAAAGTTGGTAGGGAATCTCTATGAATGCTTGGCTCCAGCTGAGGGAGAGGTAAGAGGCTGCTTTCCATGTGCTTTGCCCGAATGAGAGTGTGTGTCTATGTGGTCTCTACTTGTGCATGGTTTCCTTCAAAGGTGTCATTTTAAGCACCCCACAAATCACTTAAGGCTGGTTGTTCATGCTTTGGATCAGCGCCTCCCTTTTCAAAACGTCGTCATTCATTTTTACCTGCTCATCTCATGCTTTGTGCAGTGAAGAGCGTCATTTTTGTGCTTCATCCACCATTTCCCGAAACTTCACTGTTCCTTTTGCCAGTTGGAACCCCTTCAGTCTTAATCCAAACTCCACACAGCCTGCATAGAAGAGTTTAGAGTGCCATATGCCTGAATCTACTCTCCACCTGCCTGCTTAACCCTGTTATTATCACAAACCTGGCTCTTATCTTAAACTCCACTTTGTCCTGCTGTGCACCGTCACCTAAACGCCTCCCGTATATCCTGTAGAGTCTATGGAAGTTCATATTTTAGAGACCACAAAAAAAGAAAAAGAAAACTGTGCCGTGGTCAGTGAACTTCTTTGTAAAGCTTGTCAAGGACTTTGTGTTAAATAACATCTTGTAAACAATATTTCAAACATAACGTATTTCCATATTTTGCTTTGTCGTGTGTTGATGTTTGTGTTGTTTCCAGGACTCGGAGGGTGTGGAGATTATGCTGGGAGTTTGTGCAAGTGGCCTACTCATCTACAGAGACAGGTTGCGGATCAACAGATTCGCCTGGCCCAAAATCCTCAAAATCTCCTACAAAAGGAACAACTTCTACATCAAAATCCGGCCCGGCGAGGTAAAGATACGTTATGAAGATACTGGAAATGACTTTCTTGCAGCAGCAAACATAAACTTGAAGCCTTTTTGAAATTGTGTATCAGCTATAAAGACCAGTAATTTAAATTCTAACACATGTTGTTGCCACTACATTCATAATACCCCATCTCTGCTATGTGTGCATTGTGGTCTGTAGCTGATTTATGTTGGAAATATGAATATAAAATTAGGGCAGGGAATTGGGTGATTGTAAAATGTGTCATTGAGATCTGTGGCAAAAGATAGTACAGCACTGGGATTTCACTATGCTTAAACTAAAAAAATACATATTTATAGAGCACTTTTTAAAAATCCACAACACAAGGACAGCAAAAAAGCAGTCATGGGCCTGATCGTGCCATCCATTATACGCTTTATTTGACTTGATTGCTAAGTCGAATGGTGGGATGGAGGTATGTTGGTGTGCACTTCCTCTTGCTTGGAGACTAAAGCAATATTCTGAAGAGCAATGGACCTCTCAGCTGGAGTAGAGAGAGACTGAGTAACAACAACTTAGCTCTCAGTTGCCTGGCTGGGCATCTGCATTCAGCCAGTAGCTACTAAAAACCCTGTGGCAGCAGTGGGTAGCACTTCTTCTGGACTTCATGAAACATCTCTAAGAGCTGATGAGTTTTTGAACAACCTCCAGGGTTACGAATATAATGGAACCACTATATGTAATTTAGAGGCAGATGATTTTAACTTTGATTTATTTTTGAATGGCTGCACTTCTAAATATTGAATGCAGCTTTACCAATTATTGCTCTTAGCTTTTGCAAGTATTAAACAAAGTAAGGCATCTGCATTTAAACTAAAGCTGTCTTGTTTAGCATGTTTGTTTCAAAGGTTTTCAAAGGGGACACTAGATTGCACACAGTCAGTCAAACTTCAGGGATGTCAATCTGTCTGGTTAGGATATGTTAACCAGTGTGAATTCATTTCCTCTACCTTGGTGCACAGTGTCAACAACAAGACAAGCACCAAAAAAGAGAATTGTTTTGCGGGTGGTGGCAGCAAACCATTGCGCCTCCCGTCGTCTCTCCTGATTACTTTTGGTTTTCACTTGTGCCCTTGTCACTGCTGATAGCATGACCTGCTGGTACCTGCAGCTCTGTCAGGTTGCACAGGTAGTGCAGCTCCTCCAGGATGGCGCATCCATACGTGCTGTTGCAAGAATGTTTGCTGTGTCTCAAGAGTATGGACAAAATATCAGGAGATGTGCTCGTGCACCCTTCATCCTGTTTCTCCTCACATAAAGCAGCAGATGCTTGTTGTGCAGCTGGGTTGAAGCTCTTCAGTCCAACTCTCCCTTAATAGCCCCCATTTCCTCATATCAGACAGCAAGAGTCTGTAGCCATCACCATTCCCTTTATGTGGGCTGTCTTGTTGTTGCTTCTTCAGTGCACTTGTAGTCACTTTGATTTGCACAAAAACGGATGAAGCAATGGTTTCTGCTTCACAGTGTCACCTTATTTTATTTATTTTTAGTAGTTTGCATTTACAGCTTAAAAATAGCAAACAACTAACAACAGTTACATTTAGAAGCAAGCAGGGTTGTAGCTCCTCGACAACGATACTTTAACATCAGCTTCCTTCTAAATGTGACAGGGCTTAGTTGCTGGATTTTTCAAAGTGCATGTACTTTTACTGCAAAGGGAATTAATTTCAGTGTCTAGAGCAACCGGGGAGAGCGTTTATCGGTGTTACACACACACACACACACACACACACACACACACACACACACACACACACACACACACACACACACACACACACCATCTGTACCACTGATACTCTGAGGAAACTTGACTCAAACGCCATCAAGCTTAACTTTACTATATTTAGTACTTTCAAAAGCTAACCGTAATAATGAAAGTGACTTCATGCAGTAATTTGACAATAAATCAACAGTTCAGTTACTGTTTCATGTATGAAAGAAGAATGAAACCAAACATTCCTAGAATAGTTGACATTAGTTCTTGCAGAAATCTCATGAAGTAGAGAAGAGTCAATAACTGCTGCTGCCTCTGGGCATCTAGCAATTACTGGCTAAGTTCAGCAACGCTTTGGGGGAAAAGAAAGTTGGGCGAATTTCCTTCTTTGTTTTCAAATGTTAATAATGAATTGTGTTCACTTAAATTATCAAGCTAGAATGCAAAGCAGTTATCCTTTTAATTAAAGACAAATACCTTATAAAAACACTAATACGATTAGGGGGAAAAGTAATGAATTGTGATTGTCAAAGGGATCTCCATGGTGACTCATACCACAGCATTTTGTCTCACTTGCAGTTCGAGCAGTTTGAAAGCACGATTGGTTTCAAGCTTCCAAATCATCGTGCTGCCAAAAGGCTCTGGAAAGTCTGCGTGGAACACCACACCTTCTTCAGGTAAGAAAAAGCAACAGACCTGTGATGAGAACACAGCATTGAGAAGTTTTAATTATAAATAATATGTGCACCTCGGCAGCTCAAGCTTATTCTCCACTCAATACCATGCATAATACATTGTTTCCCAAATGAATTTGTGAATCAGACATGTGATCCGACAGCTTTGTCGGCACAGATTTACTGCTAATCATTATACACGAATTCATGTCGTGAGAGAAGCATCGTCCAGACTCTTAATAGTTGTTGCCATTTGGAAAACATGCGAAGTTTGTTCATTTAAGCAAAAAAAAAAAAGGAGGTTTTGAGTAGCGTGCTCAGCCCCACGGCTCTCTGGGGAATGTTCACTAAAGTAGCAGTTAGCGTTTCAGAGCACTATGCTTAAATCTGTGTTTTTATTTTTGGTTTGAATAATGTGAGTGTTGGTAACTTCTGACAGGCTCGTATCCCCCGAGGCACCTCCAAAGAAGTTCCTGACTCTCGGCTCCAAATTTCGCTACAGCGGCAGAACACAGGCTCAGACACGCAGGGCCAGTTCTCAGATCATCAGACCTGCTCCGTTCTTTGAACGCACCTCCAGCAAACGCTACAACATGTCCCGCAGCTTAGATGGAGGTGAGGTGTTGGTTTTTCAGCTTATTTTGAGCACAGAGATTCTTGGAAGTGTTTCTGTACAAGAGAAAGTTGCTATGCCTCGGGAAAGTGGAAGAAAAATATTTGCACCTGAATGTTAACGTAGCTGTTAAATTTTTGGTGCATGTTTAGCAGCACAGTGACAAATGCATAAAGGATATAATAGCAGCAATGTCCAGGAGCAAATCAAAGCTTTTTCACAGTGAATGACATGCAGTTGGCCATCACATCCATCTTTGTCCTCTGGTGTTTCAGCTCCAATTATGGAGAACCACGAGACCCTGATGAAGGACAATGCTGCTGACGGGGAAGCCAAAGTCATTGCCAAGGGAGATATTATCACCACTGTAACAACTGAGAAAAAAGCAGAGGAAGAGAAGGCTGAGGAGGGGGATGCTAAGAAGGACACAGCAGAGACACCAGAACCTGCTGCCACATCACCGCTCAGACAAGACACAAAGGTAAGTTGCTGTCCACATTTAGACTTCAAGGACTTCAGAGACATTGGATGTTTTCTGTTTGATTCAGAGAGGTGCTACACGTGAAAGACTAAGATTGTTTCTTAGAAGCTGCAGTTATTATGTTTTAAGCCCTTTCTGAGATTTTAATTTTGCTTTCTTTCTTAATAGACTTCTTCTTGGCTGATGAGAATTTCCCACTTGCTATCAGCTTAACCCTCTGCAGTAGACAAGGCCTAAATGCTTTTTCTCATTTTCTGTGCGCTTTACTAATTAGCTTTTCTTTTCTTGTTTTTCCTTTGACCCTCACACTATACTCGTGTGTGTGCTCATGCTTATTCGCCCCCTTCCTTTCCCCTACACACACACACGGCCATCTCTTCATTGTCATTTCCCTCCGTCAGTGCACCCCTCATGCATTCACATCTGACCCCCTCCGTTCTGAGCTCTCGCTCCCTTCATCCCCCATTTCATCAACTAAAGTACGGCGCAGGCACAGGGAGAACGCCCGCAAGCGGGCTTCATCAGTCAGTCCAGTCAAGAGCAGTACCGGGTGCCGCCGCCGGCAAGCCCGCGCCGACCATAAAGCCGCCCTGCTGGAGGAGCAAGCTCTGCTTTTGTCAGCCCGCAAGCAGAGGCTGGAGCAGGGCAAGAGCCGGGGCGGCACGCTCTTCTCCTTCTCCCTGCACCTGCCCGACCTGTCGTCCATCCTAGATGAGGATGGCTACATCACATTCCCTGACCTGTCAGAGATGCGCTTCCTTCCTGAGTGTGCGCAGAACTTCCTCCCCATTAAGTCACCTTCACTCATCCCCTGCTTCCTTTTCATCTTCTTCTTCCTGCTTTCCACTTCCTTCTCTGTGCCCTATGCCCTCACCCTCTCCTTCCCGCTGGCGCTGTGCCTCTGCTACCTGGAGCCCAAGGCAGCCTCCCTGACCGCCTCCCTAGCCCAGAGTTACCATGACCATGACAGTTCAGAGGAAGAGGAGGTGTGTTTTGCGGACGCCTGTATGTTCCAGTACCCGCCCCTGGCTTAGAATGACAGTCCATGATATCGGTTAACCCCTTACCGTGTCCTCTGCCGTTTCACCAGTTCAGAGCCGACCTGGAGACTGTGTCTGTCCCAGTGTCTGTCAGTCTCCTACTTTCAGAACCTCATCTCTGCCCAGTCACATTCATCCTGTAGACTACATCCTCATCAGCATCACGAGTACACGGAGATGAACTTGCAAGTCTCACCATTTCATATTTGATGTATGTTTAAAGAGAGGGTTAGACACAAATAGTCAGGGACATTAAGAGCTTCTGAGCTGCTTCAGTGACACGTTACCATGAACTCTCACTGAAGAAAAAAACAGTTCATCATGTGACTATTTCACTATCTGAATGAGCACATTGTGTTTACAGATTATGAGTATCAGAAGAAGTCACCTGTCTTCATTTAGTCACTAATCCTTCACCAAACCCCACAAAGAAAAACACGGCTTTTGTGGCTAACCCATCTCAGTGTTATCATGTACATTCAGGGCTTTTATAGATTAAACCGTGATCCATACCAGCTGCATGGGAACACATCCATATATATCTGCACTCAGTCTCTCTGCATTGCGTCCAGAAGAGCAGCACTAATTAAAATGAATCATTCAAACAGAACATCAGCTGAAAAGGGCACCGAGTGTTTCGGTGAAGAGGCATGCCATGTGGAGTGCAAAGATGTGCTACCTTTCCCTCAAGCAGCACTCTTTGCAGTCACCAATTATGAGTGTAGTGTAATACACGCTGTGATGCAGAGAGACGGTGACAGATAAATGCATCCTAATCACCCCAGCATGCATGACGTGAGAGGAGGGGGAGGGCCTGAAAGTCAGGTTACTGTTCGGCAACAAATTTTTACTGTCAAGTGTTTTGTGTTTGTACAGTGACTACACAGCAAATGTCATATCCACGTGGAGTGATTGACATAAACCAGGATGTAGCCTCTCGTAATCACAAATTTGTATTATTGATTTAAAAAATATATATCAAATGTTACCCTGAAATGTCAAAGTGACTGACCGAAGGTTTCATCTTCCTCTGAGTCTGTTTTGCTTCTGCTTATTTTTCATTTGCTTTTTAACTGTTTGTTTTGTGGTTGTTCTTTTGCAGAACGTATCTGCAGTATTGTCTAATAATCTGTAGCTGACAGTGCAAACAGCCAATGCATTTCCATCTTCCCCATTATTGTGGCTATGAAGAATTTCTGTAGAGCATAAATGCAAATAGTCAAAAGTTCACAAGTTTGGTTGTTCTTGTTTTTCTTGCTTTCGACTTGGACCCGTTTGGGTGTGTCTGTGAATGCAGACTGACAGCGAACAAACTGATTTTGCCTTTGATGGAGAGATGACCGCTACAGAGGTTTGTACACAAAGAAAACCATCATAATTAAGGCATGCAGGAAATACAGAATAAAAAGGAAAAGCAAGGAAGTGCCGGTGAATTATAGGTCTGGTAACCACTGAAACATTTTTGCGAAAATCCAAAAGTCGTGTATGTCGTGCTCTGGATCTTGTTATGCCATTTTAGTTCCTTCCCTTTTTTATGTATTAAAATGCATGTCACAGTATCTGCACTTTTATCTCTTCATCAGTCTTTTCTACAGACTCCATTAATACTGACTGTTGGCTAAGCCCTGCACCTGTTGCAGTGTCTGTTGATGATAGACTTTAATTTGTAATACCTAAAAACAAAAGCGTTTTTTAAACGAAGAGGATTTCAGACAGGCTTCTTGTGTCTGTCTGATTTCATCATCTGAAGTGAAAAATATTGCCAGGTTCTGTTAGCTTAAGCTCCTGTAATACGCTCATTTTGGCCATAAAGGGGGAGACATAACCATCCCAAACTAATTTGGATGTTTCTATCTAATCGCTGCTGAAGTCTGGCAGCATCAGAAATAGCTGTTGCTAGAAGCTAATGGCTAAATACTGGTGGTTACACTTAAAGTCAGAAAAGAGAGCTTTTTAAAGAAAAACTCATCACACAAGTCAACGTCCACTTGGTTTGTGGATGTTGGTAATACTTGTTCATTAATTTAAGAATAAGCTCAATAGCTGTGTAGTATAGAGCAGAGAAAGTCACTGTTTATTCAGTTTCTTCCACTTTTTGATTTGGAAAGTTGAAATGAAATCAGCTGCCTGATAAAACTTGCTGTCAGTCCTTTTAAACCTGTGGAAAGATCCAAAGGTGGGCATGGCTGCAGTTCCTTGTTACATATTTTGTCGTGGACTGTAGTTGTTCAGAGCCGGGGATTAGCTAACTGTCAGTTTCTGTTCATTATCTTTACCCGTTCCTTCCCTCTCTTACCTCTGCTTGCTTGTCCTTGTTGCTCGCTTTCTCTTTCCCTTCACCTGTTTTTTCCATCTGCGTCTCTTCTTTAATAGCGCATTACTGTCTTGTCTCACTGTCTCTATGCTTTCCTCCTTACTTGCTGCCAGTCTGAAGCAGATGAGGACTCTGAGATGCGGACGCAGGTACACCGGGCTTGCTTCGCAGCCCTGCTCAGTGCATCACACCGACATCAGATGCACTGAGCCGCTCACAAATCAGCCATCAGTCATTTTGTTCAATCCATCTGCCTTCGCTTGCCTGTTGCTGCTGCTGCTGCTCACTATCATACCTTACATCAGACTCTTGCTTAAATCCACTGCGCAGACTTCTGCTGCTTTTTTGTGGAGTCGTGGTTATGTTTAATTTCCTGCTGTTGCTACACCCAGGACTCAGATTTCAGTTTTCAAGGTTCTTCATAACCTGTGACTTTTCAGTGCGTTGAAGCTTACCCTCATTTGTCAGTCATACTGTACAAACCAAGGCTCCCAGTTTCTCCTAAAACTATTTTGATTTTAATAAAGCATCTAATTCCCTTATTTACAGTTCCTCTCCCCCTTTCTTGTCTTTGCAGTATAGTTTCATAAGACGAGTAAAAGGGGAAAACGTTTTTATCAGACATAGTAATCTGATGCTAGAGGTTGGTAAGAAAAAAATGCATGACTGAAATGTGCATGCAGGTTACTTTGGTAAGATGAAACCTAACTGGTAATCGAAGTGGTAACAGATGTGTCTAACTGATGAGTGGCTGCTAGTATTTGAGATTTTGGGGAGTTAGACTTGCTGTGAGCATCCAAATGCATTCTTATGACAAAACAGGCCAAGTTGAAATAGGTCATTATTAACCTTGAATGAGATTTGGGAGTGTTCTTCTTAACTAAACCTATGAAACTAAATCTGTAAATCTCTGCATGAAACAAGTCCCCCCCCCGCCCCAGAAAATTAAGCTAGTCTTAAATGCTTCTTTAGCATTTCAGTACAAGCTGCTACTTTCTTAACAGCTGCCATGTGGGTGTACCTTTTTTTGCTTTTGTTTTGCGTTTTGTGCTAGCTGCTGCACAGGTAGCCTGGACAAAGTCCTAAACAGGCCTGTGAACAATAAGTATTAAGAGCCGAGGAAGCAAATAATGCAACTGATTTAGGTCTGCGGAAGTTTACGTCGCAGATCTTTTCCGAGCTGCATTTTATGCTGTCCGCGTATTTTTGGTAATTCTTTGGAAATGCAAGCTACCATTGCGTACATGAAGCATGGCCGTCGTTCCCTCCGCGCTGCTCCTGCCCTCATCATTGTATCACGGTTGATCGGCCACTTTAGGACACAGAGCCTCCGGCGGAGGTCGTCAAGCACCAAACCAACATCAGCGAATTGAAGCGTTCCTTCCTGGAGACCGACGGAAGCATCACCACGCCCGGTCTGACAGAGTGGGAGAAGAGACTCTCCTCGTCCCCTATGCGCTCACCTAGATCGGATGAGGCACCAATGATAGAGCCGCTGGAGCTGGATGTAAGCTGCAGCACCACAGCAGACTGAATGATGGCATGTGTGTGTAGAGCATGACATCACCAAGGAGATTTCCTTTGGTTTTTTTGCTTTAGAAAAAAAAAAAAACTAGTCAGTTCAGGATTTAGTGCACATTGACTCATAAAGCAGTAAATTTAATATTCATAATGAGCCTAGATTTTTTTTTTTTCTTTCTCAAACGGTGCAAGTGTGGTCACACATTTTGCATCCTAAATGGTTTTAGTGCATATGAAAGGAGACGATGGGCACCTTGACAGAAGAGAATTATTTGTAAAGTTATTCAGAGCTGAATAAAGTTAATTTCAGTGAGTGTGTTTCTCTTTCCCTCTTATCAGCTCATGTCTTCGGTAACTGATTATCATATTAATTTGTCTCGGTAATGGATGATGAAGTCATTAATCAGTGGTGTGATTGTTGTGCTCAGTGACATGTGCATTTTTATCAGAGTTTCTCCTTTACTTGTGATGTGTAAAATTATCTGATGGACTTGCACAGGACAAATGAGCGGCACTAATTAAAGTCTGAAGACGAGTCACTGACAACCAGTGTGTCTGACTAAAATGCAAGAAGGTGAAGGAGCTTTAGGATCTAGAGTTGCCACAATGGAACATGCGGTTCCACTGGGTCTGCCCGTTCTTGTATTTTTCTTGAATATATGTGACTTTCTTTAAATGTTTATTTATGTTTTGTTCCCTCTGCAGACTAAAGAAGATGAGCCAGCAGCAGATGAGACAAAAGAGGTGGAACCTAAAATCACTGAGGTAAGCTGCTTCCACTGAGTTAATATTGAACATGTGTGAGACTTGTTGTTTTTGTTTGTTTTTTTTACCTTTATCTATGTGGAGTTACTTGTAGCTTGTGGTTCTTTGAAAGAACAGTGTTTCTGTCAATTTCTGCTTTTTTTTTTTTCAACACTCTAAGCTTTCTTTGGCCGCTGTTTGAAAGCTTTTAAAACTTCCTTTTTGTCTTTTCAAGTTTAGAAACTGCTAAAGGCTCATTAGTTCTTATAGTGACAGTACCTCTGTCTCTGCGCAGGGACACTAGAACTGAAGTGTGATTACTAAGAGCTGCAAATTGCCTGTGGTCGTTGAGAGTAGGACGCCGTTGTGGTGCAAATGCATGTTTTTTCCAGATTTGATTGTAGTTGAACAAACCATTAAACTGTTGTAAGAATTTAAATTGACTTGACCACATCCACAAAAGTTGGTTAGCAAATCACAGAAAAACAACAGAAGAAATCTCAAATTAAACCTATGGCCAGTGTTTAGGACTGCTCAGTCTTTAAATGTACTGAAATATGTAAAATGTTATGTTAAGTTTGTTTAGCAAAAGGTGTGTGTGTGTGTGTTTTCTTCTTGTGCGTTCTTTATTTCTGCTGTGTATTGGCTTTGTCATGTCCTCTGTCTACTAACTTGAACGATCCATGTCCAATAAGCCAAGTGTCTCCCCAGGCAGCAGGTTATCTGGTGAAATATGTGGTGGATAGTATGACAGCTGATGGGCCCACCTCCTCTGGGCCTCATGGGATTAGTCTGTCAACCACTATGGACGACGACGTCTTTATGGACGGGACCCTGAGAGAGGTGGAGGAGAAAACCCCTGAGTCCCAGGACGAGGTGTCAGAGAGGTTGGTGGTGAAGGTCAGCCCCGGAGCTATGAGACAAGAAGTGTCCCAAGCCATCAGCGACAAGAAAGGGACGCTAATTATCCTGAAGGACGCCGAGGATAAATCAGACACTGAGGGCAAAGAGAAAAGTGCTGTCCCTGGAGAGTTTAAAGCTGATGAGCATGTAATGCGGATGGCTTCTAAAGAGGAAGAAATCCCCAGAGCAGACACTTCAGTTGTTACAGAAGCTCAAACTACAGCCGCCAAGATGCTGAGTCCGAAGGTGGAGATAAAAACAGACAGCATGACTCAGATTAAAGGCATTGACTCGCCTAAGAAGGCTATGGCATCATGGATCTCTGAGGAGGTGAAGATGGAGACTCCAGAGTTCATCAGTGTGTCAACAAAGGAAGTAAAAGATATGAAGACTTCTGATGGACTACAGGAGAGAGCAGAAATCTTCACTTTCAAAGAAGTCCAGTCTGAGCAGTCAAAGTCCAGCCTGACTCAGATTACAGTTTCTGAATCTTCAACTACATCTTTAGTTGTGGTACTGTATGAAAACTAAAAGTAACTATTCAGTTTTGGCTGCCTCCCCTCATACCTCCACCACCACCACCCGCTGCCTAGCCCCATTTACTGCCTTCACTCCAGCAGCGACCAAACCGGTCTAATAACTCAAGCCCCGTGCATGGCTAACAGTCCCTTAACACCTAGCGTTTACACGCATTCTTGCCAAACCGCTGGTTTCTTTTGCAGTCGGGCCCGCTGCTTCTTTTTCAGTGCAGCTGCTTTGGGTTTGTTTTTGAGTTTTGTTGACAGCTAACAGCTTGCCTTACAGTAGCAGCTAACTCCCGCAGCTGATAAAGGAAGAAATTGGGTCTCTGTTTCTACAGCTCTGCTAAGCGACACCATTTCTTTCTTTCGGTTCCGTTATCAATTCCCTGAAAGCGGTGACTTCATAGCCCTGGCTCGGTGCCACTGCTGCAGCTTTCATCCTCCAAAATCCCCTCTGCCTCATAAACAGGTCGGGGGGGGGAAATTGTATGGATCTACCCGAGAAGAGATTTCACTGTTCTTATGGAGCAGTTTTGAAAAGCAGATTAGTGGAAATTTGCTCCTAGTGGATTTAGTGATTCTAAAACCGGATTTTTGTTTAAAGGATTTAGGATTTGTCATAAGTCAGCACATTTAATAAGTTACATAATGGTATTCCATACAATCATTACATTATTTACTTTTCAGTCCCTTTTTTCCTTTTCCATGCTCTCTCCTTTGGCTCTTTAAATCCAGACTGTGACTTTTGACTGTTCCCTCTTCACCTCTCTCTCTCTGTTCTTGTGTCCATCCATCTTCCTGTCCCATTAGTCTACGTTGGAGTGTGTTTCCTCCTCTCAAAAGGTGACCACTGCTCTCTGGCCCTTACAGTAAATAAGTATTGGAACACAGGTTGTATGTAATTGTTGTACTGGTTGTACACGTGCTCATAACTAACAGTTGTTCCCTTTACAGGTTTGAATTTGCCCTGTGTGTTTGAATTTTGACATTATCTAATGATATAATTATCATTCACAGGCACCAGCTGGTCAGGAGGAGAAACCGGTGATAGAGATGGAGGCACTCCCAGCCAAGTCTGCAGGGCCATCGGTAAATATCCAGACCACAGAGGCTGTACAGGCCGAGCAATCGCACCCTACAGCAGAGCCACAAGCCATGAAAATGCTGGGGAGCTAAGCTTAACAGATGTAGAGGTGGAGGCACCGATGTTAAAAAATGGCAATGATGGGTTCAGATTTACTCTTCCTGATTATATTAGTGGTTATGGAAAGCAAGGAGAGCTGCCTTTAACAGAGGAGGAACCCGATGAAGAAAAAAATAAGAGGTTTTTGGAGTCTTTAGAAAAGAAGTTTGCAGCTTTTAAACATGCAGGGGAGAAGAAGCACACAGAAGTGAAGAACAGGGTTCAGTTCTCTGACGAGGTACAATTTTTCAAAGAAGAATTCCCCGTAAAGACAGAAGATGGTATGGAGGTGGATGAAGAGGTGGTGGAATGTTTTCCAGTGGCCCCTGAGTGTACAGAGGATGACTCAAAGAAACTTTCAGAGATGTCAAACCGTTTGCCGTTTGAAAAAGAGAAATATTACCATGTTAAGATGGAAAGCCCAGAAGATGAAACCGAGGAAGCAGAGGTTAAACCCTTGGCTGTAAAGAAGGGAGTACCTCACAAGTATGACAATAAAGAAGTGAATTTGCAAAAAATGGAAGAAAATGAGTCAGAAGGGAGAGGAGATATGATGGCATCAGAAGAAATTGTAGAGGGCAAAGCACTGGAAAAAGAAACTGAGGTGCGAGGCCAGACAAGCCCACACGAAGGGACTCTATCTGAACTCCTTAGGTCACACACACCAGCTTCCAATTCGCCTTCTGCTGTGCCTCGGTTGGAGGTAACATTGCATAAGCTTCAGACGCCTCAGCCTCATTATTACAGACTCACCATCTCCCCCGCATCACGGCCCGCCACTAGTAATCGATCTAGCTCTGCCAAACGCATGGATTTATTTCTCAAGCTCCTAACTCCGCAGTTTGTTGCTGTGCAGATCAGCTGACCTTTTAATTGATGTGGTGCACACACTTGATAGAAAACTTGTGATTCCCGTTCTTCAGTGTCCTCCCCTGCACTGGATGAGGGACTAACACATGACTGCATGCTCTTTTAGAGATCTGAGGCACTCGGTGACCATCCTTGGCTTAGCTTATTAGCATGCGCTGCTTATTTTAGTCAATGTGATTTACTTATTTTAAGAACAGAAGCACACAGTTAACAGTGAACACCTGTAGCATTTGATTTCAGGCATAACAAACGGCTCAGGTAGGGTGCTTTTCATAATGCTGGTCTTCCCCTGCAGGCATTTATTTGTCCCTGTTTTGTGTATTTGTCAAACAGAGTCCCGACATTACCGCAGTGGCTACCAAAGACATGCCCGTGATCCACACTGAGACAAAAACGATCACCTATGAAGCTGCAGAGGTACATGTGACCACAATGTGTGACTGTCGTAGTTATTGGATGGCAGTGATGGAGGAATAGTGTACGAGTTGGTATAAGAAATTTAGCAGTAGCAACAGCAGGATTTGAGGTGAACTGACAATCATGTTGCAGAGCAGCACTCGTTCACTGAGTGCAGTGTTTGCATTTGCCTGGGAGGTCAAATATTAACCCGACTTTTAGCGCCATTTTGCTCCCCACTACCTCTTGCGAGAAATGTTTGTTTTGAAGCTTAAAGCTGGATTGTGTTCAGCTGCTAGCTTCTGACTATCATCTTCTTGGTGAGCAGCCAGCATTTAATGGAGAACAGTTATCAGAAACGCAAAAAGAAAAAAGGTACAGCAACTGCCTGCTGTGACAGCAGACGACCAGTGAGAGTGAGTCAAAACACTGAAGTTACTGGAAAGTCTGAGCAGTAAGAAATGAGATAAAAACACATTTTTGAAGCTTTATAGAGCTGATGGGAACTGCAGCGGTTGGAGTTACTGCAGCTTTAAAGCTCAACTATAAATTTTCATGGATTAGCGATGGATTAAGTCAGCGTTTGTTAAATGGGGTACTTGCATCCCTTAGGCATGCTTTTAAAAACTGCAGGGGGGTAAGTATGTCTACCTCTGCCAAGGATGTTATGTGATTGGTTCAGTTTGTTTGTTTGTTTATAGCAAAATTACTGGAAAAGTTTTGAAGGGATTTGCATTAAAATTTCACCAGAGGTGGAGCTTGGCACAACTTGGTGTGATTACCTGATGCAGTCAATCTGGATCCAGGAATATTTGGAAGGATTCTGTAACATTGCTACATGGGGCAACATTTAATTATTTATTTAGTACAAATATTACTGATTACTGAGTTACTGTTAAATGTGAAGTGTGTCACTAGTTGCTTTCCTGCCACCAAGAGAGACAAAGATTCTCACACAAGACAAACAGACTCACTGGGCTGAATAAACATGTCAGTGTTAGTACATTACTGCAGCGGTCCCCAACCCCCGGGCCTCGGACCGGTACCGGTCCGTGAGTCGTTTGGTACCGGGCCGCGAAAGTTGAGGCTCAGGTGTGAAATGTATGGTTTTTCAGGGTTTTTATCGGTTTTCAGCGTTATTTTGTTATCGTTTTTATCGTTAATTCGGTTTTCCTGGGTCTTTTCGCGTGTTATGAATAAATCTTCTTTTTTTTGGTACCGGTACTGGTTTTATTTTGTTGTATTTATCCGCGACACCTTAAAGGCCGGTCCGTGAAAATATTGTCGGGCATAAACCGGTCCGTGGCGCAAAAAAGGTTGGAGACCGCTGCTTTACTGGGAAAAATGAGAAGCACTTGATTAAATAATTGTGCATAATGTGTGGCTCACTTAAAACCACCAAGAGTTATCGTCTGACCTGCAGTTTGTCTCACTGTTTGTCTTCAGCTGCAGACTTGGCTGAAACACACTACCTGCACAGCAACAGACACACACAGTTATCTACTATATGATGGGAAAAGTCAACATGTAGCAGCATGTAGCACAATCCAGATAATTTTCTCAGGAGTTAGTTGAGGCTGAAACGTAATTGAAAAAGAACTAAACGTGAATGAGTTTGAGCTTTGAGGTTTCCACTAATCAGTATTTATTGGAATTTAAAGAAGGTAGTACTGCTGCTGTGTTTGGATGGTTTTATGTGCAGTGCTCATGTAGAGTGTTTTGTGTATCAACAGGTTGAGACTAACGGTGATGCAGACCCCGGAGTGTTGCTGAGTGCTCAGACGATAACCTCAGAGACCACCAGCACCACGACAACCACACACATCACAAAGGTCAGGGCACATCTGTTGTTGCTTTAGACCAGGGGTGTCAAACTCAAATACACAGTGGGACAAAATTCAAAACTGGAACAAAGTCGCGGGCTAACATTAACATTTATTGAAAAGGAAAAAAAGCTGTATAACACCAGTAGGCCAGCTCTAATAGTAATTTGGTATGGCTTCGCGGGCCAAATTTGGCCAGAGTTTGACACCTATGCTTTAGACTCTTCACGCTTGTTGTACATCTGAGCGTCTCTCTTCTTTCTGGCAAGTTTCAAACCTGAATCGCTGAATAAGCCGGTGAAAGTGTTCTCATCAAGTGATCGCAAGTGTGTGCCTGCCCAACGGGATGAAAACAGATGCATATATCCATCCCCTGGTTTTTATTTTCATGAGTTATTACAGTTTTGTTTTTATCGGTGCTTTTAGTATTGTTATTATTATTATTAGTAGTAGTAGTAGTAGTATTATCATCATCATCATTAGTATTATCATCAGCTGCTTAAGCTACAAAAAAGGCCAAACAAGTTCAGATACCTAGATTAAGACTTTCTTATGACGAGCTGACGGGAGTATTGCAGTGATTTTATGTGTTTTCTGTTGGTCAGACGGTGAAAGGAGGCATATCGGAGACAAGAATCGAGAAAAGGATCGTTATCACCGGAGACGCAGACATCGACCATGACGAGGTCTTTTAGTCCTTTCATACTGTTTCTCTGCTTACCCATACTCATTATTTTTTCTCTTTCTGCAAAGCTGATTATTTGATTGTGTGGTAAATTAAAAAGGTCAAGTGCTGAGCGGTGACTTAGTAACCGTCAGGATATTTAGGACAGGAATGGGCTAACGTGACATTTTAAACAAATTAACTCATCATATGGCTTAACAAGTTCTGGACGTATAAGAAATGTGACTAAAAATGACTTCCCTGTTGGCATACTGACTTACAATCCAACATCCCCGCTCCCTCCCTGCCTTTCTCCGTTCTCTGTCTCCCCCTGGTGATCCCTTTTGGCACTGCACTCCCGTATGTAGGCTCTGGCTCAGGCCATAAAGGAGGCTAAAGAACAGCACCCTGACATGTCAGTGACCAAAGTAGTGGTACATAAAGAGACAGAGATCACGCCAGAGGAGGGGGAGGACTGAACCAGGTAAGACAGCAAGGCCCCAAGTCCCGATCCCGGCGCTGTCCTGTTTAGTCTGGTTTTAATTTGGTTGAACTGGGCTTTGTTTTTCTTGTTTGTTCTTTCAAGCTGGTTTCCTCTCTTAGGCATGCTGCTTTTCCATCAGCACTTCTTCTCACTGGTGCAGATAGCCCTGTTTCTGTGGTACTTACAACTAATGCATCATGCTGCTGTCATTTCATTCCCCTCTGCAGGGAAAAGGACTGAAGATGCATGTGTGCACACAGGCCGGATATTATAGTCTCAATTCGTAATGACAAGGCTTAAAAACATTTACAGTAATGCTGCCGGCAGTCTCATGCAATCTAGTGCAATATGGCTACAACACTTCCCTCTGCTGGAGAGAAACACAATGAACTTTTATTTGAGAGCTACAGCCATGTACTGTGTGTTTAAAGATGTCTTTACTCCCTTTTTTTAAAGATATTTTGTAAGTTTAAATTGCTGTGCTAATATTACAGTTTTCTAAATAAGAAGTGTATTCTTCTCTAAATGTTTATTAGACACACATGTGGAAAAATGTTTGAAATTATGCCTGCATGTTGTGAAACATTGAGTGAAACGATCTTCCATATATTGTTCTGCCTGCATTGTGGTAGCTCACAAAGAGCACAGGCAGGGATGAGCGATTAAATTCCGGCTGAACCGGCTTCCGCTCCGAGCCTGCGACTGCAGACGCGCCCGTATGGACTGAAATCTGATCTTGAGTGCACACAGATGTGCTTTGGTCTATTTTCAACTCTGCTCTGTAAATTTGAAATTATATATGTTAGCTGAAGAAATCCTTGTGTACCCAGTTGTACAGCTCACAAAAAAAATTACATTTGGAGAAATTCATTTTTAGGGCTTTTTTGAAACTACTGAATATGCATGTGACATAAAATATCAGATTTAATCTGATTTGAAAGTTGTTCACTAATTGTTCTTTTAAAAACTCTATGAAAAGTTTGTGACACAAAGGCGAAAACCGCAATAATTTTGCAGCAGACAGCAGCCTGGTTTTCATGGAAATGAACACCAGAGCCTGGGGTTCATCCCTGAGATGATTCTAGGGCACACTGTGACACACTTCTGCTTTCAGTTGCACTTCCCTGTTTTTGCACGAAGGGAAAAATAGGTCAGCAGTCCTTATGGCGTTTCAACAAACTCTGCAAATACAGCCATTTGTGTTTCAACTTGTCCACTGTGGGTATTGTGAGGATTTTCTCATGTGTGGAGCTGTTATAAAAGAACCTTGCATTTCACTGCAGCACAGCATGTCATTCTAGTTGCCTTCTCTCAAGCATTTATCGTCTCTTGAAAGTGCTCGCTGTCAAGTTTTACTCTAGTTCACCTTTTGGCAGTGAAACTTGTTCCTTTATCCTCTGACTGAAACGGTCCCAAGGCGCTGCGTTTGGGATGAGCGAGCGTGCATGTGTGTGCTTGTGTGACTCACCAGATGGGAATGCTTGACTTTGTTTCTGCAGCCTTGCCCTCAGTCCTGTGTTTGCGTGTGTGCTGTCTTATCTGAGTGTGCTTGAACAGCTCTGGTAACATGATAATAAATGTTTGTAGTGTTTTGGGTAGTTGTTGTTTCCCTTGGGTGCTAGATACACACAGAGTGGTGGTGCAACCAGAAAAATTGGAAATCACCATTTTCTTCCTTTTTTGTTTTTCATGTTAGGAACACGTCCACAATGAAGTCAAAATTTAACTTATATTGTTTTAAATTGCGTGAGATAGTTTCCTGTTTATATGCCATTTAATGTGGGTGTGAAGGATTTGATATCAACAGGTGGTGACTCAAGGCCTAGCTGTATACAAATGTTGGCCAATCGTAGCCATTTATCGCCCTTACTGTGGGTAAGGGCGATAAAGTGTGACACAGTCTGACACTGGAAAAGAAGATGAAGGTGAACAAGTTTGACATTGCAAGCCAAAATCCTGGTTTTCCTTGTCCACATGTAAACACAGAACAGAGTTTCTGGGGGGAAAGCTCTATTTTCTGTGTGGATGAAAGGCCAAAACACATAGAATAAAGCCACGTGCATGCAGACAGACCGTTAGCAAAAAAATATACAGCCCAGCCTCAGGACAGATTGAAAAAGTGAAATGTGACATGGACACAAATCGCCTGTGACGGTCAACACAACCTGGAAACAAATGTCAGTTGGAAGCATGTTTACTTCCCGCAACAAAAACTGTTATGAGATGCCTCAGACGGGCGTCTTCATCAGGACAATGATGATTTCTTTTTTTCTTTTCTTTTTTTGGTGGTTTATGGTGGTTAAAAAAAACAAATCAGTAGCTGTCAAACTGTGAAGCGCCATAGGTAAAAACAATAAACATGTTCTTCTTAAGGGAAAATAAACTAGTTTGTTAGTGTTACTATGTGATTTTAATGATTCCTAAATATTCCCTCCCCTTAACCAATAAATCAACGAGTGAAGATATAAGTAATGATAGCACCTAACTTTTTAAAATAACTTAAAAAGGCAATATTATAAGGCCTACTTTTTGAGCTATTAGTGATGCGCTTGTTGTTTTTAACTTATTTACCAGCTGTCACTAAAAAAATACCTCAACTTTTCTAAAGTCTCCTAACCTAATAAAGTTTATATAACATTAAACATCACCAATAGGTGTAAATAGTTCAAATATTTACCACTTGTGACTGCTATGCAGATGTTTATGATTATTTGGTATTTGGACTTTGCATTCTTATTGCATTAGCATTTGTTGCACTTATGATATTTTAGAGCCATAATAACTGAAGTTGTTTAGTTATTGTTTACTTATTTCAAGTACCAACAAAGTGGAGCTGGGTTTAAGTGGAGGCAGTTTTAAATACAGTAAATAAAATAATAATTCTTAGTCGGGGGGACTAATGATAAATCATTTTTTTGTGTATACATCCGTGCTATACAACTGTGCTAGCTACTGTAATTAAAGTTCAGGGAAATTGGGTCTAAAGTGAAGTTGTTGGGTTTTTTTTTTTCTTTTCTAAAAGCTACAAGCAGCTGCTGGTTGGGTAAAAGAGCCACATGTTTGAGACCCCTGCTCTAAACACGTGTAGGAGTTGTTGAATCCGTTGTCAGGATGGTACTTTTGTGGATTTCCTGTTGCCCGAATAGCCTGTGTGTATCTGTCTTGTATATTTGCATTTTTCTAACTTCTCTCTGAGCGTCTGTTTAACTTAACTGCCTTAAGATGAAGTGAGGCTCATTTTCACTCTTTGGCAGAATGAACAGTGGCAGTAAATGTTCAGCTTACAGGATTCACTGACTTGTATTTCCTCTCCTCTTACAGGAATAACTCTGAGGGCTTTTTTTTTTTTTTTTTTTTTTTTTAAAACCTCTGCACCCTCCCAAAATCCAGCATCCAGAACTCCACATATAACGTCGGGACTCTCAGAAGACTAGAAAGGCCTCCTACTCTCCAAGTGCTGCAGCTCCGCCGCTAGTCACAGCCATCATCTGCAAAACAACTAAATGCATTTTGCATGAGAAGGAAGCAACGTTGCATTATCAAACAAGATTATACAGAAAATCATGTGATTCTCCAAGTGGTTCCTCAATCCATCTGCACGCCAAATCCCTGTGTGCAGCAAGCAAAACCTTTTGCTTTCACTGCCTTATATGACTTTGATGCATTTTTCTGATTATTGAGAATAATTATTGTAGCAACGTTTTATTTATGAAATAAAGCCATCACTCCGGAAACTTAAAATCGCTGTAGGCTGTATATGTTAAGAGAGCGTACACTATTTAACCTCGCAGTAGAAGTGCCAATGTTATTTACAAGCAAGCATCGCCTCATTCCTTCAAACAGCTCCGTGGTTATCCAGCAGGTATGTCACTACAGAAATCACTACAGCTACGTACTGTACATATCAAAGCTTTCCTAGGAAAATAGCAAATTATCTTTCAAAGTTGATTTTTTTTTTTTTTTGTCATGTCTACTTGAATAGCATTTTCCTTTATATCAGTGTTTCATCATTTCTCATTGATTCCCCCACTTCAAGGTTTTTAGAGACTATGTCCTGGCAAAAAAGTCAAGGAATCAAAGGTTTCTGGGCATGAAATGGATTTTATTTGCCTGTGGAGGGTTTGTTTTTTCTCCAGGGTAGATGATCAGCTGCAGCACAAGTGCCAGGTTTGTGTGACTGTGAGGCAAAGGGTTCAGACTGGCGAGCTCTCCCCTGATTTACATTCAAAGCCAAGAGAGATCTATAATCCCCCTCCACTTTCGCCCACCCTGAACACATCAGCTGTGTTGCCCCCCTCTTATCCATTCTAATGTATCCAAAAAAAATGAGTATTATTGATGTGCAGCTGTGTTTTCCTCAAAAAGGTGCAACAAAAGTGGCAAGTGCATTTGTTTTGTTTTGTTTTTTTTTAATTTGCTGGTCTCTTCTAAAATAATAAAAACCACAGTACTGAAACCTGTGTCAGCACTCATTTATGCCTCTTTAAGTATCCGTTTTTGTAATCTCCAAATATAGTTAAAATAGTGGAAATATGATTGAATAGTTGTGCTAATTTTAAATTATGTGTAACTTTGATTTTAATTTGATATTAAATTGTTAAATCTTAAAGTTTCACTTTATGGAAATATGCTAAAATCAATTAGGCTGAGCACACGGCAGAAACGGATCGATCTTTAAGCGGTAAAATCAAACTTAAGCAGGGTGAAATTATCTAAAAATGACATAATTAAAGTTAAATTAATGTTTAAATATGATGATGGGAGGCGGTTGAGGCTGTAAGCTGCAGCCCATCTATTATTTATGAAACCAAATGCTCCAAACCCTTAATTGACCTGTTAAAAGGAGAGCCCGCGGGCTAATTAAGACAGGCGTTGTGCAGTCAGAGGTAATTACTGTGAATACGCGGAAGCCCCGCCCCTCTGCGTACGTGCGGTTATTTCCCAAGATTTATAGAGAGTAAGAGCGCTCACTCCGTCTCTTATTGTGTGAGTAAATGTGCATTTGTTACTAAAGTGCACCTCAGAGTCGCATGAATGTCACCACAGTGGTTACAAAGAATATTAATTACACACAGGATTAGAAATTTATAAAAAAGTGAAAGTATTTCCAGGTGGAAGGAAACTTTTGAAACACTTAAAAATCTACAATAGAAATGTTTTTTTGTTTTTGTTTTTTGCTTGTTTATTGTTGTTTGTTTGTTTTTTAAGTATTGTCACACATGTAGTGACAGTAGAAAACATGTGGCACAATGGTGCATTATGTAATTGTTTTAGCATTCTAGCCCACTTGAGACCACACTGGGCTGTAGCCCATGAACTAACACTCCTGTTGAACAATATTGGAGTAAACGCCCGTGGCTGCTCCATCTTCAGCATCATTTGTCCAGTATATCTACCATCCCTCCTGTCCAAACCATCTCAGCCTGTCCTCTCTAAACCACTCTGCCTCACGTATTCATTTCTAATCTTGTGAACGCTACTCTTAAATTTCAGCATCTTAATTAATAATAATAATGGATTGCATTTATATAGCGCTTTTTGGGACCCCTCAAAGCGCTTTACAATACCACTATTCAGTCACTCTCACATTCACACACTGGTGAAGGCAAACTACAGTTGTAGCCACAGCTGCCCTGGGGCAGACTGACAGAAGCGAAGCTGCCATATTGCACCATTGGCCCCTCTGGCCATCACCAGTAGGCGGTAGGTGAAGTGTCTTGCCCAAGGACACAACGACCGAGACTGTCCGAGCTGGGGCTCGAACCAGCAACCTTCCGATTACAAGACGAACACCCAACTCTTGAGCCACCGAAAAACAGAAAATTTTACGTGTGGGGTGGGGGACAAAGGAGGGGCACATACCTCTTCAGCAAGTATGTGAAAAGCCCTACATGTAACCGAGTCAACAAAATATCCACAAAAACACTTTAAATCTATTTATTGTATTATTATCTCTTTTGAGAAAACAAAGATTTTTTTTTGTATAAATGAGCCCCCCCCCCCTCCCCCCAAAAGTTCCCCAAAATAAATACAGAAAAAGAACTTAAATGACTGTACTGGGGTGATTAATATAAAAGTTGTGGTGGGCAGCTGGGGGCTGTTGCTTCCCCGTGCCCCCTTGTAGGTCTCCCCCTGCTAAAAGCTTATCAAAAAGAAAAGCTTCAAGCCCAGATGATACTTTGTGTCTGTAGGTAGGTTTTCGGACATCCAGGTTATGTCTAAGACTTGGACTGAAAGCGAGTGGACTTCTTTATGTTTCTTGAAGACATTTCACCTTTCATCCAACAGACTTCTTCAATTCTAAAACCAAATGGTGGAGAGTCCCTGGTATTTAAATCCTAGTGGGAATTGTCCCTTAAGAGGGTGTCACGTGTCTCATTGAGTGTCACTGTGTATCTGCATTTCTTGGGGATTTTGTTCAGTTAATATGAATAAATAAATACTTTTTGTAATCAAATGTTCTTAATTTTAACTTCAAGACGTGAACAGACGGGCTATCTGATGGGTGTTTGCTTGTATTATATTTAAAAATCACCAATATATTCAGCACGTCGTCTGATTTCCGGCAGAGTGAGTCACCACCGCGTGTATAGACGATCTCGGTAGCGCGCTTCGCTCCGGTGCTGTAGGTGGCAGCAGAACAATGCAGCATTTCCTGTGGAGCCGCACAGTCACAACAAGAGGAGGAAGAGGAAAAACGACAGCTCTGGATCGTCGTCGACTGCCTTGCGTGACAACACAGGGAATCGCGTTCAGGCTTCGGGTAATAACATTTTTTATTTCCTCTTTGTCTGCTCGGGCGGCGCGGAACAGCGCGCGGCGGGTTTTTGGAGGTTTGTCGGTCTGTTTGCCGCCGTCTCCTCCGCTGTTTGTGAACTCAGTTAAAGGCACCAGAAACATGCCAATGGAGGCTTGCTGACCAAAATGGCTGGGCGCAGTGAAATGTGAAATATTCTTGCTAAGGTTATTCTTCCTGCACGCGACGCGACTGTCACGCGAACTCGGCGGTAAAACGCGCTTTTTAAGTGAAGAATAGTGCGCGTGTTTGTTTCTGCTGCCGTTACTTTTCTGTTTTTGCTTCTTATTATTAGCGCTACTGCGGCTCTGGGCCCTGCCGTATTTTTTCTTCGGGGTTTCTGCATCGGTTGTTTGGCCACTTGTTTGCTCTCTTGTCTGTCGGGCGCTTATTTATGAACAGGTTCACCTTCGGTTGCAAGTTTCTCCGATACTTTGTTTGTTAGGCGCGCTGCATACGCTACCTGTATATATTTTCCAAAGTGGCATGCAAATAGAGCTCCACCCCTCAGCTGTGCAGGGTGCATGCATGCCCTCGTTCTTTGGTGGGAATCAAAATATTTGACAAGTTTGCTGATTTTTGTTTTTTTTTTCCCTGCCCCCCTCTGCAGGTTGCTCCAGTTTGTCCTGCAACATGTCTGATTTACTAAGATATATCGACTATGACCACAAAGCCACCTTTCTGAAGATGCTCAACCAGCAGAGGTTGGAAGGTGAGCATTGTGATGTGGTGGTCGTGGTGGAAAACATAGAGTTCAGGGCTCACCGCTGTGTCTTGGCCGCCTGCAGCAACTATTTCAAAAAGCTCTTTAAGAAACAGAGCGACGAGGACAACTCCATCGTGGAGTTGGACTTCATCCGTTCGGATATCTTCGAGGAGGTGCTTAATTACATGTACACAGCCAGGCTGGCTGTGAGGAAGAAGGACATCAATATGATGATGTCGTCTGGTCAGATCCTGGGCATCAACTTCCTGGATAACTTGTGCACCCAGAAACGCGAGCTGACCAACATGAAAACGCGGGAAAACCAGGCTCCGGGTGACCATGGGATGAGAGCTCAGGATGCCATCCTGAAGGAGCTGGCTATGGAGGAGGTGAGGAAGAACAGCTTCTATGATCAGGGGATGGATAGCATGGGGCCCGGTGGCTCACACGTGTCTCAGCCGCACAACTATAACACCAACATGGGCAAAGAGCCGCACAGCCACACCTGGGGCTCATCGACCTCCAGCGACATGAAGCTGGAGTACCTGCTGTATGGCCACCGCGACCACGGCTCCTGCCAGAGCACGGGAGCAAAGCCCATGGACCACAACGCCAAAAAGGAGAGGCTGCTCACCGCCAACCGCCCCTACGGCTGTGAGCACTGCCCCAAAGCCTTCACCACTGCCGCCCACCTCAAAGAGCATCTGAAGATCCACTCCGGTTTCAAGCCACACCGCTGCGTGGTGTGCGGCAAGGCCTTCATCAGGGGGCCCGACCTGAAGAGGCACGAAAGGGTCCACAGCAACGAGAGGCCCTTCGCGTGCCAAATGTGCGAAAAGGCATTCAAGCACAAGTCCCACCTGAAAGACCATGAACGGCAGCACCGGGGCGAGCGTCCCTTCAACTGCGGCTCCTGCGACAAAGCCTTCATCAAAGCGTCGGATCTGAAGCGCCACTGGAACACCATGCACAGCGCCAACCCCCGCAGACAGATGTCGCTGTCTCCCGCCGCCTCCCAGCAAGGCCAGGGAGACGCCACCGACCAGAGAGACTGGAAAATGGAGACCGGGCTACACTCGCATAACTCTGGGGACTGTTGAGCCTGCAAGCACACGTGCATACACTCACACACAGACACACATACTGACACGCAGACACACTTACATACAAATAAATATGTATACAGACTGACACAACCACAAACCTGTGACAGGCTGCGTGGCCTGACATCACATGAACAGCAATCGGAGTGAGTAACAAGAGATCATAGCATGTTAATAAGACTGTGGGGCTGTATTATTATTCTAAAGAGTTATGTCAAAGCGATGTTTCCTTTCCACCTGTAAAATCATGTAAATGTTTAGTTCACACTCTACATATATTTTTCACAAAGCATTGTTGCTATGTAGACTGAGGGTTCTCATAACATTATTCTCTTTTACTTTAATGGGATATGTAACATTTAAATGTTTGTTTAACCTTTACTGGATTTTATGGAGATGAAACGAGAGAGTGTAATAGAGAAAGGGGGAGGGCGGGGAGATATTTCTGCATAACATTTGTTGCATTGAGTATATTCACGTGGATGTTTTTAATGGCTGTGTTTAGTTGTATTGATTGATATTACACTGTAAGAGTAAGAGTCACCATTTTGCATTCAGCGCAGATGATACCAAAGTCTTGGGACTCTTGATGGATCGCCTTTATTGAGGTTGTCCTGCCCAAGCAACCGGCCAACTAGATTTACTGTTATACAGTATAACTGTCATCCAGCTATCAACAGTTAATGATAGATGTCTGTATATACTGTAGCTTAGTTTGTTGCACAATTAGAGTACACAATAATGAATTATGCACATATAACATTGTCCTACTCCAACACTTTGACAATAAACACCATTTGCTGTGTTTTATTGCTTTGTCAAAGGGGTTTTTTGGAAGGTAGAAGCGAGCT